GATGATTGAAAGTGAATTATAACCCATTTTATTTATATATGCTTTTAATCTCCACTTCTGTTCTCATCCAAAATAAACCTGATAGAGGACTTCTGGAATTTGATGTTATATACATGGTGACATACCTTTTTCAAGGTCTAAGGCTTTAATCATTTACCCTCACCAGTCAGCCCTCTGTCTCAACCAAATGAAAGTGTATTCTTCTAACAATACAAAGAACTGAGTTGCTGTTATAATAACTCATCATGTTTTCTTAATAGGATATTCCAGGAAGAGGACATAAGTATTGTCTTAAATTCTCTGTGGAAGAAATTATCCAAAAAGTAAGTGAAACATCCTTTATTATTAAACAAAATTTGATTCTAGAAATATTTTAGATCACCTTTGCTGATAAAAATCATAGGATTAATTTTTTTTAAGTTGTTGTGAAATCCCTGCCTTGAAAAAATAACTATGCAAGGGTCAGATTTTATGCTTTTTAAAATATGTTCTGAGATACATGGAGTATTTCTATTTAGGTAGTTAGCAAAGACTATATACATTTCGGTTCAAATAAATTCCCTTAAAAAAGGTTATATACTTTAAAAAAATAAAAAATAAAAAGGGGTGCCTGGGTGGCTTAGTTGGTTAAGCGTCCGACTTTCGCTTAGGTCATGATCTCACGGTTTGTGGGTTCGAGCCCCGCGTCGGGCTCTGTGCTGACAGCCAGCTCAGAGCCTGGAGCCTGTTTCAGTCTGTGACTCCCTCTCTCTCTGACCCTCCCCTGCTCACGCGGTCTCTCTCTCTGTCTTCTAGAAATAAATAAACATTTAAAAAAAAAAAAAAAGGTTATATACTCATAGGACAGTGTGAACTTATGCCTAAATGAACAAGTAATTTACTCTGCAATCATCATCACTTTCTTATATGTCTGCTTTCTCATTCTATTTCTTTTAAAGATATTTATGTGCAATAAAATGACCTAATGATACCACCATGTCAGATAAGAATTTTTAGTAATGGGGCAAGGAAATTTTTAAAAACTATATTCCTCCCAAATAATTAGTGAGACACACTTAAAAGAAAGGAATTGCAATTTGTACCATAAACATCTTGACTTTTTTTTTAAAAAAGCTTGCCCTTTTGTTGTGCATAATTCAGAAGAGATACAGGTTAACATAAGGAGATTTATTAAAAGACATCTGAGCTGCTAGACAGCCATCTTTCAAAGCAGAACCAATGCTACTATTTTCTAATTATACATAAAGATACAGATTACTGTATCTGGGTTTGAGAATATTTCTGTTAATTCAGAAGCAGAGAGTAACAGAAAGATTTTAAAAAGTAACCAAAGGCTAGAGGTAGTATATAAAATCAGACTAAAATCTATCCTTACAAATCAGACTAAAATCTATCCTTACAAATGGACCCCATTAATACTGAAATAACGTTTTAGGAAGAATTTGTAAAATTATGAAACCCTGTAAGTTATAAAATAAGTTACCTATTTTAGAGATCTTTAATGAAGCTGTAGGCCACATCCAATTAGATGCCTCTGTAATAAACACTCTGAAGTCGTTTGAAATACCATTAGAAGGCCAACACTTTAACTGTTGTATCTTAAGAGTGACAATTACTAATCGATGGCCATCTACACATAAAGGTATTTTGCAAAATGTTTCAAACAGCAAGTGACCCTGAACTGTACAGCTGAAGTACTGTACCCTCTAACGGGACAAGATACTGCACCAGAAGTCAACTTCACATTTGAAGGAGAAATTGGAAAGAACCCAGATAAAGAAGATAACACATTTTATCAAAGACTCAAGTCTATGAAGGAACCACTTGAAGCACAAAATATTCCAGGTATATAAATATGGCATGGAAATTTTTTTTCAACTTTAAGATCGGTATTAATTATCTATGCACAAAACTGTTAGATGGTAACATAATGTTGGAAATATACTGGCTTTTGCAAAATTACTCACTGCCAATCTAATTCAACAAAAAAAGGTCTTGCAACTTTGTAGATCCATGGCTTAATTGCATTCTGTACACATTTGAAGGAAATTAAGACATGACTTAGATTTAAATTTTCTTAAAGGTTAATAACCGTATACAGAAAGTAATTACATTTACCATATAAATGTTTCTCTCACCAGACAGTTTTGGAAATGTATCTCCAGAAATGAAGCCAGTTCGACATTTAGCGTGGGTAGCCTGTGGTTATATAATATGGCAGAATTCTACTGAAAACACATGGTATAAAATGGTAAAAATTCAAACTGTCAAGCAAGTGGTAAGTGATTTCTATAAGATATACTATTAACAAAGTTTATTTTACAGAGAGTGTGATTATTCAGAATTGGATAAACAGTGCCCCTTTAATCATTTTACGTTAAAAATAGTGAGCCTATTTTTGAAGCAGTGAAACTTACAACCACGGCTAAAAAGAAAAGTGAAGCTGCAGTTTCAAGAGAGTGAAGTACTAAGTTATAGGTAATTTGGTCAGTTCTTGTGCTCAGCTTAAAACAGATTATATTCCTTGGCAATCTAAATTTTACGTTCAACTTCCTATAGCTATGCAATACTGAAACTACCTCTGTTTCTCTCCTCTCTGAAATGGTGGTGCCAGAGTTACTCAGAGACATGGCTGGCATTTTTTTGCCCCAGGGATCGGCTGGAACAAAAATATTAGCATCTTAATCTTTGTGAAGCATGCTGTACATGATTTTCTTTTATAACGCATTTAGCCATAATCTACAACTTCATTTCTTGTTGCTAGCCTGGTGTTTTGTCGGATAGGACTATTTAGAACTGCCTCTTTCTAGACTTTAAAGAGATAAAGTCAACTTCACATTTCAGCCTTATTAAGAGGTTACAAAGTCAACTGTAGATATGTAAAAGATCTAAAGAAAAACAATGCAAAGACATCACAACAAAGTCTGAGCTCTGTAAGTAAAAAGGACGTTCCACATGAAAAGGACGTTCCACAGGACTTGTTTCTGCTGGCTGGTAACAAACTGCAAGGCAACTGCAGAACCTTTGCTCCACAGGTTTTTGTAACATGATACCTGTGGGCCCTGGGGGGCAGGACACCCAGTCACAGTCGTCACAACATGATGCCAAATCCCTAACATAAATACTACAACATTTTCAGAAAGAGAGCCTTTTTCTAATGCATTTCTACAGATAACGCTTTGGTTACAACATTCCTGTAGGGGGTACTGAGGCCTCAAGTAATTGAGTGACAGGTCCAGGTTACAGAAATTATATGGTCATAATCATGGTTTGCAAGGCATGTTTTTGTAGCAAAATATGCTCCAGCCAGTACTAGTAGTTTTATGAAAGAAAACTCCTATAACCCTTCGTCAAAGTTTTAAAGCATTAATTAAAATTTCAACAGAAAGGTTTACTGCACATTTATAATCCCTATTAACCAAAGGAGCCACAGTAGCGTGTGCTGTCCCTTGGAGGCTAGGGCTTGTTTCGATACATTGATTACAAGCCAACAACCTTGTACAACAGGTCTCTGGTGAATGTAGTTTTAAACTATGTGGATGCGGTATTTCTATGTAGCAGATGGTATAAATACTTTATATGCCCATAGCAATAAGCAGCACAGAGCAAAGCTTTAATTATAAAACTAGATAACTACATTCATTAAATTTTACTACTCTCAGTTTTTAAAAAGAATTTCTGTTATAAAATTGGTTTCCTTTAATGTGAACACTCAATTTCATAGTTTATTCCTTAAATGATCTTTTTCTGCATAATGGAAACATTAAGGAATCTTAAATGATAAACTTTAGATTGTAATACTCTGAAGTAGCTATCATACCCCAGCACCTAAAAAGGGGACACAACTTTATTTATTTAAAGTTTATTTATGTATGCTCTGAAAAAGAGTGTGTGAATGAGGGAGGAGCAGAGAGAGAGGGAGTGAAAGAATCCCAAGCAGGCACCACACTGCCACTGTGGCACCCAACATGGGGCTTGAACTCACGAACCTGTGAGAACATGACCTGAACCATCAAGAGTCATCTGCTTAAAAGACTGAGCCACCCAGGTGCCCCAAGGGTATACAACTTTTAGAGTACCAGTTGAAATCATGATTTTAAATGTAGTTTGAACAAAAACTTAATTTTATAAGAACATAGTTTTCTGATAAGGCTAAATTATAACATTCAATGTTTATTTTTACTTATTAATTGCAAATATTATAATCATCTAGTAATGAAAGCTCAATTTTAAAATGAACATATTATTTCTGCCAAAGATATGAAGTTTCAAACACCAGGTTTTTATTTTTTGTGATAGCAAAGAAATGATGACTTCATTGAATTAGACTACACCATTCTACTTCATGACATTGCATCTCAGGTAAAGTATCATCTACCTTTATCTGATGTGACTGTGAAAACAGAGACTTGTATTGTAGCCACAATGTAGGTCATAATTCTAAGTCATAATTCTGACTCTAAATAAGAATTTATGTAAATTAAAATAGATACCAGGCTGAAGTATTTTATACTTGTAGCCATTTACCCTTTTTTATGCTGTTCTTTATAAAAGACTATTTTGTCCTATAAATCCAACATTGTTTTCTTAAACATCTTCTGAATTTTATCACAGCATTAGTTAGTTTCCTTTACTTGCAGGAAATTATTCCTTGGCAAATGCAAGTTCTCTGGCATCCACAATACGGTACTAAAGTAAAGCATAACAGCCGTCTGCCAAAGGAAGCACAACTGGAGTAAATGAAGACCCTAATGCTGGATAAAGTGGCAACATGCTTATAAATGCTGTGTTTTCCCGATCTTCATGGATACCTAGCTTATGGGGCCAAACTGCAAAGTGTCACTTTGTATAAATGTCTTCATTGCAGTATAGAACTACACAGATTCTGTAACAGTGTCATGATGTTAAGAGTATCCCAACACTAATAGTGGTATGTATATCCTATAATAAAAAGCTTCAATTCCAGTCTCCTAGTATGTTTAATTGTGTTGCATACTTACGGGACGGGGGCAGTGATGGTCTCCCTGAAAGCAACCTTTGGCTTTCCTGTGACACAAGGACAGCCATATTCTCTTTCCATCCTCTAAAAAGAACAGGGGAGATAATTTTTTGGTATACTTAAAAAAATTAAAGAAGAAAAATCTTAAGAATCTTAACTACCACTGAAGCACTCGTTTAAACATATTTAAAAAAAGATAAACCTTATATGATTTAAGTATCTTACAAAGGTTAGAGGCATGATATTAAGTAATACAAACTGCTTTTTAAAGATTTCATGTAAATGAATTCTAATTAAGACTGATTAACTTACACTTACCTCTAATTAGTCTATCCACTAAAACTTCACCTTTTTTCTATATTATTACATATTCACTGGAATAGCAGGTGAATCTGATGTCAATTTTCTACTGTCTTAACTTCTAAAATGTGATCACAACCTGAATTTTTAATAAGTCATATAGCTTTTGTTTTCATTCATAAAGAAGACCTTTCCTAGGAAAATATGGCCCGTCTACTCTATTATCTATATTCTGATGATCTTTAAGCACGAGCTTGAAAAAACCACAGGGAAGAAATGGCCTGAAGAGTGAGTACTGATGGGCCAGCTTCCTCAGCAGGTCTCTCTCTAAGGCTGGGTCCAGGATTTACTTGACCCAACTAACCATGACCTAAGGAATAGATGGATGGTCTTACTACAGTTGCTGAGCCTTAATTCTAGGAGTCTGCAGTATTTTACAAATCAAAGGATTCAGAAATCAAAAAGAATTAATCTGTAACACACAGTAACATTTGTAACACAGTATGCCACATCTGGATACAAACCAGAATGAAGTGTGAAGAACCACTATCAATTTACAGTCATTAGACTAAGAATTATTGACTTGCAACAAGACAGAAACAAATACAATGAATTTAAGTTAATTTTCTTGTTATTCATTACCTGAGCATAGATTTCCAGGTGTAATTCCCCCATTCCAGATACAATTGTCTCTTTGCTCTCAGTGTCGAAGTGGACTTTAAATGTAGGGTCTTCTCTTGTAAACCTGCCAATACCTTTTGAAAATTTTTCCAGATCATTCTTTAAAAACAGAAAGTCATTACACGTTTTACTTAGCATGATAAGCAATAGGGTTGTTGAAAGAATTTTAGCAAATGAAATCAAATACGTTAACAGGACATAACAATGATCCCCACCTAGTTCCTGGGCCATAACCTTTCAATGTAAGCTTGGATGCCACCCAGTCAAGAGAGCAGTGAAAAGATGGCTGAAAGAATTTTCTTTCCATATCAAGATAGAAAACAAGAGTCCAAGACTTAACTATGCCTTTTCCTATTCTTAGATATACAGAAACTATCCACTTGTGAAAAACTTCCCATGAAGGGGAAAGAACCTGTTACTGTTACATTTCAGAAATCCTATACATAATCAAAGGAATCAATATGTTTACCAAGACTTAACTGTAGCTTCAAGCAGGATTTAGTTAAGACCAAGAGTAAAGCAAATGCCACAGTGAGACTTCTCCCTATCAAAACAACCTGCTTGGACGTAGTTGGATGTACCTTAATTCTCCTTAGATGTAACTCCATACATGGTAAGCAGAATAATGGTCCTCTAAAGATACACCCTAATCCCCCCAAACCTGTGAACATTACTTTAGAGGTGAAGGGGACTTTGCAGATATGATTAAGGTTACAAACACTGAGATGGGGAGAAATTACCATGAAGAATCTGAAGAATCTTTAAGAAGGAAGAGGAGTGCAGAAGGGTTAATTTAGGGAGATGGAATGAGGGAAGAGGGAAAAGACATTTGAAGCACAAAAGGGACTCATTTTGTGGTTGACAGCAAGAAGACAAGAGGAATTAAGCCCCAGAAGATGGGTAGCCTCTAGAAGCTAGAACCAGGCCCCAGGTGACAGTCATCAGGGAAATGGGGACCCTAGTCCTAATAGCCATAAAGGGCTGAATTTTGCCAACAATCTGAGTTAGCCAAAAATAAAATGTCCCCTAGAGCCTCCAGAAAGGAACAAAGCTCTGTCAATATCTTGAATTTAGCTGATTAAGAACTAGATCAGATTTCTAACACTGTAAAAAGAATACATCTGTGTTATTTTAAGCCACCAAGTTTGTGGTACTTTCTTATGGCAGCAATAAAAAACTAACACACCCTGAACTACCAGTATTTAACAGCTGTCACATGTGCATGGAACCATTCTATAGGAGTATGCTGTGTATATGTTCCTCAAATTCTACCTACAATACTGCCAGACAGAATTATCCATGTTTCACAGGTGAGGAAACTAGGTGTAGAAAGAAGAAGTGACTTGCTCAAGGCCACAGAACTAAGCGCATGGCAAAGCCAGGACTGAATCCTGGGTTAGTCTATCTCTGAAGTCTCTTGCCTTTTCGCTACACTAGCTAGGTACTGTCAACTTACTAGAAGATCATCCCTGCTCATACTATCGAGATTCAGAGCTTTATGCAGTGATGTCATCATTTGATTTAAACTAATTTATTCCAGCAAGGATATAGCTCTGAGACACCAGAAAACCTGCCGTTGATTTCCCTCCACTGTTGTGAACTATCAACAGTTAAATACCTTACATGACTCTGAATCAAGAGTGAAGAGGCATAATATCTTTAACTTTTGTCCCTGAATATTCTGAAGGACAAAGCAAACGATTTTGCAAAGCACCTGGACCTGTGGCATTTCACTGTGTAGTGATATGCAAGGTTTGCCTTTTCTCAGATTTTTGAGACGGAAGGATTTAATGTTTCTTACTCCCTCAACATTCTTTTTTCTGTACCAAGAAGGGTCTGGAAAATCTCATTTCCTCAAAAAAGAGGAAGTAGTATGTATTAATGTATTCACAAGACAATAAATCAGAGTATGTTGTATAAACAATAGCACCCAGCTGACAAGAGGTCATAAAATGTTCACTCAATGCATGAATGGGTTCACTTCAATTTACAATATTAACATGACTATTAATGAACGTCAAAGCAACTTAAGAGCTCAACTATGGCAGCAATGCAAATTAAACCTATTGAAGCAATTCTAGTTTCATAAAAAGCTAAATGACATCAAGTCCAATCATAAAACTATTATATTTGAAAGTAAGACAGTCTTGTTTTAGACTTTCCACATTAGAACCAGACATGTACTTTCTAACTAGCCCAAAACCAGAGATGAAGCAATTTATCTATGCAGTAATCTAATGTACTTTAGTGAGGTTTTACTACAACTTAAGACAAATGTCCCTGTTTCCCCTTTTTCATTCCTTCATGATCTGAATCTATGAAAATATTCTTAACACTTTGGAGCTAGTGATACTGTAAAGAGTCGGAAAGCACTGCCTTGCACCAATTTAAATACCATTAATTTTTTCTTTTTATTAATGTTTTTATTTTATTTATTTATTTTTTTATTTCTGAGAGAGAGAGAGAGGGTGAGCAGGGAAGGGTCAGAGAGAGAGAGGGAGACACAGAATCTGACACAGAATCTAGGCTCTGAGCTAGCTGTCAGCACAGAGCCTGATGCGGGGCTCGAACCCATGAATCATGAGATCATGACCTGAGCCGAAGTTGGGCTGCCCAACCAAATGAGCCACCCAGGCACCCCAATACCATCAATTTTTTTCAATGTGAGAATTACTGCCAACCAACTGGTAGTTTTTTGTTTTCTTAAGTTTGAGAGAGAGCCAGCACAAGTGGGGGAGGGGCAGAGAGAGAGAGAGAGAGAGAGAGAGAGAGAGAGTCTCAACCAGGCTCTACACTTCCAGTGCAGAGCCCAATGTGGGGCTCCAACCCAGAAAGCCACAAGATCATGACTTGAGCCGAAACCAAGAGTTAGACACTTAAATGACTGAGCCACTCAGGTGTCCCCAGACTGATAGTTTTAAAAGGTGATCTTGGGCACCTTGGTGGCTCAGTCGGTTAAGTGTCCGGCTCTTGATTTCAGCTCGTATCATGATTTTGTGGGTTCCTGGGATTCAGCCCTGAGTCGGGCTCTGCGCTGACAGTGTAAAGCCTGCTTGGGATTCTATCTGCCCCTCCTGTGCTTGTGCATGCCTGCTGTCTTTCAAAATAAACAAACATTAACAACAAAAAGGAAAAAAAAAGGTGATCTCAATACCAAAAGAAGAAATAGAGACCATAAGATTGCTGATTATCAATAAGATACTATATGCATTATGGGGAAAGATGAAAAAGAGCTCAAGTTTTCACTGTGATACACTGAGTTTGACAACCGTCTCCTACCTTGTTAGAAGGCTTCATTGCTATTGAAATGACAGGATCAGGAACATGAATTGACTCCTAAAATATTTTTTAAAAGAACAGAGAAGAATTCAAATATAGTATTGTTTGGGTCAGATGAATTAATTTTAATGTGCTACTTACAAAAGAACAAAGTACAAATACCAGTCAACATGTTTAGGCTACACAATATATAGTGTGGTCTGTTTTGTATTAAACATATCAATATAATACATTAATAAATAAAGGCACACATTTACATGATCTCCTCCCTCCCAAAATAACAAAAATAATTTATTTATTAACTGTTTAAGACCTCTAAGTTTACTGACACCTTTGGTTTAAACATAATCGTAATGAACCCAATGCCAAGATGTGGAATTTCTTATTGGCTAGTGGCTACATGTGCTGTTGTTATCTTTTGATAAGTTACTTTATTTAATCAAAATATACCATGACCATTGATAAAACAGAGAAAGGACACTAGATTCTTTATACTTATGATACCTCATTCAATCAATCACAATTCTGACAAGCAGATGTTATTATCCCCATTTTGCAAATATAATTATTAAGGGCTTAGAAAGAGACAAAATAACTTGGCCGAGGGCCAGTAGGGAGTACGGGGCAAAGGTGAGACTCTAATCAAGCTCTATTTGCTTCAAAGCCTAACCACTTCCCACAACCTCCAGTCCCTCATATTACTAATGACAAATACTTAGAGAAGGTCTTATCAATAATATTTGTTTACAAAACATGCCCCTTCTCTAGATCCCCTCCCAAACCTGTAGAGATTTTGATTTTCTGTAGTATCTTAAATCAGAATGTAAAACCATAGACATTAGAGAGTATTTTATACAGAAAAACTAAATTATAAAATTACGAATTCGTCACATAATACAGGAACTATTATAGTGCTCCTCTGTTAGAGACGGACCACTTATGTAAAGGACCCCCTATAAATTCCTTCACTGCAAATATCCATCTCCCTGCGTACTCCTATTCTTTCTTTACTGGATTCAGCTTACACAGATGATCTTATTATCAGAGAGCCGGTTTGCCTACAGGGGCAAAAAAGGGAAATAAGTGAGAGATTCATAGGCAGGACCTGCTCAAGCATGCTCTTTCCTTTGGGACCCCTCAGTGATGAAAAAACACCCTGAGTTCCACAGGGCAGGCTATCTGCAGTAGGATTGTTTAGTTGCACCTCGCCTTCGAGGAGGGTTCCATTCTGCTATCCCCTCGTCTACATGTTCAGGTTCTCCAGGGGAATGAGGCAAGGGTCCACTCTGGCTGCTAGATTAGTAAGTGGCACTCCACTGGGACTAGCCTGATTGTGGTGACAGGAATTAGAGGGGCATATCCAATGGGGAGGCAGGTCTCAGAGTAGAGGAGTCAGCGCTACACAGTCCAGGTGCAGCTAGTGAAGAGTCCTCCCTCCGTGCTACACCTCAGAGGACTGTTTAATAATTCAGAGAATTATTTCACTAAGAAAAACCAGCTCAGTTAGCTTACACAGAGCATCTGTCTAACTGACATCCAAAGAGCCACAACAAATCTATACTGATGCCTGTGGCAACAAGTAAAAACTTCTGTGGTTTTTTCTGAAGTACTAAATGTACTATATAAAAACATAAACTGTTAAAACTTAGGTGACAAACAGCCTTGAAATGAAATGACATACCATAGAAAGGTCACTATTATTTTTGTTTGTGAATGTGTCTCCGCTAGCACAGTCAATGCCAAATAATGCACAGATGTCTCCAGCATACACTTCCTCAACATCCTAAATAAAGAAATAACGCAAAATGATGCTTGCAAGTAATACAAATCAGGACATGGTAGCTAAAAAGTAATCACACAATAAACACATTGTACCTAAACAAACATGGCAGTAGCTCACCATGGATTCTACAAAGAATGAATTAGATAGAACCAGTGCAATACCATCAATCAACCACAGCAAGATGTAGCTTGAGTAGGGCCTTTATTTAAACCACATCTCAAATGACGAGATTTTCCTTTAAATGGAAACTTACTATGGCATCATTATTTGGAGGATCTGTAGTAATGACAGAACACAGAGCCTCACACTTCTAAAGTTATTTCTATGGATTTACATGGAGCACCTAGGTAGCCCAGTTGGTTAAATGCCTGACTCTGGATTTTGGCTCAGAACATGATCCCATGGTCGGGAGATTGAGCCCTGCACCGGGCTCTGCACTGAGAGCATGGAGCCTACTTGGCATTCTCATTCTCTCTCCGTCCCCCCGCCCCACCACCACCACCACCACCACCACCACCACCACGCTGCCCCTACTGCACTGGCCTGCATGTGCGCTCTCTCTCAAGAAAAATAAAATTAAAAAAAAAAAAAAAAAAAAAGGATATTATATTATACATGTTGCCACAGTCCAACAATGACATACGTATGACAAAAACATAGGAAAAACCTCAAAGGAAGTTTTGAAAACAAAGGCAGGGGAATTCAGCTCATTGTACTTAAAATAATCTTAATTTCTCACAGATGCAAGAAGTCAAGTAAACACAGGAAATCGAAGAACAAAGCATTGGTGCCTCTTAAGTTTCCTAGTTTTTGTCCATTTATACTGACAGTTCATTCATAACAGCTGTGGCTGTGAATGAGCAAGTGTGCCTGAGTCATTAACCATTGCACAGAAAGAACACATCTCCTAGCGTCTGGCCCATAAAAACAAACAGCTGTGACAATCAGGAATCCCTCTAGAATGCCCCCTGCTGCCTAACTCACAAAACAGCAATTGCATCCAATTTTGAAAGACTGCTCATTCACCTTCCAGGAATGACAAAGTTATGACTACCAGAGATTTCTGAATGTTGTAAGATTTTGCTCAAATAAACCTCTCCCAGAATACAGAGCTGACTTAGGAAAGAGTGGGACGGAGTAGGAGACAACCTCACACACTTAGCATATCTACCAAGGCCCAATCCTAAAAGAACCAAGAAGGCATGGATAGATTCAGAGTCAGTTCAAAATTTCAACCTATAAACCAAAGTTTATTTCCCAGATTAGAGTTTTGAGAGGTTCTTCAGATGGATTTTAGCACCAAGTTGGTTCTATAATAGGAATAAAAAGCTCAAGGATTAAACAGGGCTTTCACACAGGCCATACTTCTAAAAGTAAATTCCCTGAACAACATGGGAGGCTATGTATGAATTAATTACTCTCAATTGCCTCTGAGAACCAGCCACACTGTCCTAACACCTATTTTATACTCTTTGTGATGGTAGCCCTTGAGAAAGGTGCTGAACCTTGTGTTCTGAGTCTTAGGGAACTAACTAGCCTTCTCCTTAACCTTGGCCATTGAGGAAATACAGCTAATCACAAACACGGACATAAAACGTGTCCTTAACATCTACTAATTTAGCCCATACTAAAGTGCTACATCAGAATTATAGCAGGGGCACCTGGGTGGTTCAGTCGGTTAAGCATCCGACTTCAGCTCAGCTCATGATTTCACAGTTCGTGAGTTCGAGCCCCACACTGGACTCTGTGCTGACAGCTCAGAGCCTGGAGCCTGCTTTAGATTCTGTGTCTCCCTCTCTCTCTGCCCCTCCCCTGCTCATGCTGTCTCTCTCGCAAAAATAAATAACTGTTAAAAAATTAAAAAAAAAAAAAAAAAGAACTGTAGCATATCTAAGTAAAAAGGAAGAAGCTAGGAAAACACATTCAAGTAGAAGTGATTTTCTTGTGGGGCTCAGGATACCAAGAAGGAAGATCTAGTTCACATGAACTGCATGAGAGAGATTTCTGATCCCCCAGCAAGGACCTGCACTTGCCTCCATCATGTCGGCATGCATGCGAACCAGCCTCTGCACCCGCACTTTCTTTCCCGTCCGCGTGTTGTAGATGGTGTCACCCTTCTTCAGCTCTCCTTGATAATTGCGGACATATGTTAACTGTCCAAATCGCCCAGCCTAGAAGTCAAGATTGGGTAAGGGCAGAAAGACAAAAGAGATGTAAGAATCAAAATTAGGAGAAAAAGTTCACACAACCTCCAATTATTCCCTTTCAACTTTAGTAGTATGCTTTATATATGTGTTTTGGTTTACTGTCATAAAATACTTAACATTTTGGCTTTGAATATACATGAGTTAAATGGTTATGGCTGATTTTTTTGGTTAACACACTCCATGATATTATTTGATTCTTCTGAAATAAAAATCAGAAAATAATTTTAAATTGTATATGCAATAAGGACATATCCTTTTGCCTTCTAATATTATTTCATAAGTTCAGTTTAATTAAGATGTAAAACACAAAATTGTAATTATTGAAAAGACAATATATATTGCAGAAAACAAAAATATAATTAGAAACAGTAAAGGTGCACTATACAACTAAAAAAAACCTTTGATAAGCACCTGGAAAGCTATACAAATAAGCATTTTTTTTTGAGAGAGGGCACATATGAGCAAGGGACAGAGAGAGAGGGAGAGAGGGAGAAAGAAAAGTGAGGTTCACCCGAAGTGGGGCTAGAACTCATGAACCAGGAGATCATGAGCCGAGCCGAACTCAGATTTTTAACCGACTGAGTCACCCAGGTGCCCACAAAGAAGCATTCTTTAAGAATGTGAAATAAACACAGATCAATTCTTTTTTATTTTTTTAAATGTTTTTAAAATTTATTTCTGAGAGAGAGAGAGAAACAGTGTGAGCAGGGGACGGTCAGAGGGAGAGGGAGACACAGAATCTGAAACAGGCTCCAGGCTCTGAGCTGTCAGCACAGAGCCCAACAAGGGAGTCAAACCCACGAACCATGAGATCATGACCTAAGCCGAAGTCGGACGTTTAACCACTGAGCCACCCAGGTGCCCCAATCACTGATCAATTCTTCCTCAATATTAACACTAGCCAATTAGATATGCTTTAAAAGTTGCCAATTCTTCCCATGCTAACATATAGGTTTAACACAATAGCAATAAAATTCCCAAGTGGAATTTTTTAAACATTTGATTAATGATTTTAAAATTCATTTAGAAGAATATGGGCTCCTGGGTGGCTTAGTCGGTTGAGCGTCCGACTTTCGCTTGGGTCATGATCTCGCGTTTCGTGGGTTCGAGGCCCGCGTCGGGCTCTGTGCTGACTGCCAGCTCAGAGCCTGGAGCCTGTTTCAGAGTCTGTGACTCCCTCTCTCTCTGACCCTGCTCTGCTCATGCTGTCTCTCTCTCTCTCTCTCCTAGAAATAAATAAAACATTAAAAAAAAAAAAAAAATTGAGCACTGAGTGTTATGTAGAAACTAATTTGACAATAAACTATTTGTAAAAAAAAAAAAAAAGCTTTAAAATTCATTTAGAAGAATAAATGGATAAAAATAGAAATTTCTGAAGACTTATGGCAATAAGCTAACCCCGACTAATATAAAAACATATTAAACACTCTAAACTTAAAAAAGTACAGAAGTACTATCAAGACACCACCAGACATTCTTTGCAGAGCTATAACAATCCTAAAATTTGTATGGAACCATAAAAGACCCTGAATAGCCAAGGCAATCCTGAAATTTTAAAAGCAAAACTGAGGCATAATGATTCTGGATTTCAAGCTATATTACAATGCTGTGTCCTCAAGACAGTATGGTCCTGTCACAAAAACACACACATAGATCAATGGAACAGAACAAAGAGAGAACCCAGAAATGGACCCACAACTATAAGGTCAATTAATCTTCAACAAAGTGAGAAAGAGTAATTGTTGGAAAAAAGACAGCCTCTTCAACAAATGGTGCTGGGAAAACTAGACAGCAACATACAGAAGAATGAAGCTAGACCACTTGCTCATATCATACAAAAATGAACTCAAAATGAATTAAAGACCTAGATGTGAGACAGGAAGCCATCAAAATCCTAGAGAAGAACACAGGCAACAACTTTTTTTTTTAATGTCTTATTTATTTTTGAGAGAGAGAGAGAGAGAGAGACAGAGACAGAGACAGCGTGAGCAGGGGAGGGTCAGAGAGAGAAGGAGATACAGAATCCGAAGACAGGCTCCAGGCTCTGAGCTAGCTGTCAGCACAGAGCCCGAAGCGGGGCTTGAACCCACGAATCATGAGATCGTGACCTGAGCCAAAGTCGGACGCTTAACCAACTGAGCCACCCAGGCGCCCCATGGCAGCAACTCTTTGACCTCGGCTATAGCAACTTCTTACTAGACATGTCTCTGGAGGTAAGGGAAACAAAAGCAAACATGAACTATTTGGATTTCATCAACATAAAAAGCTTCCACACAGAGAAGGGAACAATTGGCAAAACTAAGAGGCAGCCTACAGAATGGGAGAAGAGATTTTCAAATGACATATCTGATAAAGGTTTAGTGTCCACAATCTATAAAGAAATTATCAAATGCAACACTCAAAAAACAAACAATCCAGTTAAGAAATGGGCAAAAGACTTGAAAAGCCACTTTTCCAAAGACATTGAGATGGCTAACTGACACATGAAAAGAGGCCCAACATCATTCATCATCAGGGAAATACAAATCAAACCCACACTGAGATATCACCTCATGCCAGTCAGAATAGCTGAAATTAACAAGACAAGTAATAATAGGTGTTGGTGAGGATACAGAGTGGAACCCTTTTGCACTGCTGGTGGTAATGCAAACCGTGTAGCCACTCTGGGAACAGTATGGAGGTTCCTCAAAAAGTTAAAAATAGAACTACCCTACAATCCAGCAATTGCACTATTAAGTATTTACCCAAAGAATACAAAAGTACAGATTCAAAGGGGTACATGCACCCCAATGTTTACAAGCAGCATTACCAACGGCCAAACTACAGAGGGAGCCCAAATGTCCACTGACTGATGAAGATGTGGTGTTTGTGAAGACACACACTCTCTCTCTCTCTCAGCCATCCAAAAGAATGAAATCTTGCCATTTGCAAGGACATGGATGCATCTAAAATGCATTATGCTTAGTGAAATAAGAGAAAGACAAATCCCTTGTGATTTCACTCATGTAGAATTCAAGAAACAAAGCAGATGAATACATGGCAAGAAGGGTGGTAGAGAGAAGAGAGGGAAACTACAAAAGACTCTTAATGATAGAGAACTGAGTGGTGATGGAGGGAGAAGGGTGGGAGATGGGCTAAGTGGGGCATGAGTATTTAAGGGGGACACATGTTGTGATGAACACCATGCGTTGTATGTAAGTGATAAATCACTAAATTCTAATCTCGAAACCAATATTGCAGTGTATGTTAACTAAAATTTAAATTAAAAAAAATACAGAAGTAGCACAAATTAAACTGAAGAGCCTATAGATACATTTGTCAACAGATGATGATGACAAAAGACATAACAGAAAAGCACAGCGTTGTTCAAAAACTGGTAAATTGGGGCGCCTGGGTGGCTTAGTCGGTTAAGCGTCCGACTTTAGCTTAGGTCATGATCTTGTGGTTCGTGGGTTTGAGCCCCGCGTCGGGCTCTGTGCTGACTGCCAGCTCGGAGCCTGGAGCCTATTTCAGAGTCTCTATCTCCCTCTCTCTCTCTCTGACCCTCCCCTGCTCACGCTGTCTCTCTCTCTCCTAGAAATAAATAAAAATATAAAAAAAAAAAAAACAACTGGTAAATGGACTACTGGCCCTCTATTTGGAGGAAGAGGAGATACACTTAAGAGTCCACCTCACAGCATACAGCAGAAAAAAATTCCAGCTGGATTAACAATGGAAAAAAAAACACACACACCATAAAAGACATAGAAGAAAACAAAAGTATTTATGAAATATATACAAAGAAGAAGGCTTCTAAGGTTAAAAACGAGAGAACTATAAAAGACTGCTATATTTGACTGTAAGTTTTAAATTGCTAATTGTTTTAAAAAATAAGTATTATTAGCTTCTGACTCTTGATATTGACTCAGGTTGTAATGTTGTAGTTGTGAGATTGAGCCCCTTGTCAGCCTCGGCACTAAGCACGGAGCCTACTTAAGATTCTCTCTCTCTGCCCCTCCCCTCTCAAAATAAACAAACCTAAAAATGTTTATTAGTAACTAAAATTATTTAGTAAAAATGTTTATTAGTAATAAAATGTTTATTAATAACCTTTATTAGAAAAAGGTCATTCAAATAAGTAAACACTTTGGCACTAAATTTATTTATTTATTTTAAGGTTTGCTTATTTTTGAGAGAGAGAGGGAGAAAAAGTGTGAGCAAGGGAGGGGCAGACAGACAGGGAGACACAGAATCTTAAGCAGGTTCCAGGTGCTGAGCTGTCAAGCCCCTGACACTAATATTTAAAAAAGAAATGAAGAGGGGGCGCCTGGGTGGCTCAGTTGGTTGACCTCTGACTTCAGCTCAGGTCATGATCTCAAGGTTCATGAGTTCCGCCCCCACTCTGGCTCTTTGCTGTCAGCACAAAGCCAGCTTCGAATTCTCTGCCCCCCTCTCCTGCACCTTCCCTGCTTGCTCTTTCTCTCAAAAATAAAACATTAAAAAAAAAAAAAAAGAAATGAAGAGACCATTACAAAAGAGGAATTATAACTGAGTAATTAATATATGGAAAAATACTCGCTATCATTAGAAATTAAAGTAAGATGAAATACTACAAAACTATTTTTCATTCTTAAAAGTGGTAATAATTTTTAAATAATACTCAATGCTGGGGAGCCTGGGTGGCTCAGTTGGTTGACTGTCCAACTCAGGTCATGATCTCTCAGTTTTTGAGTTCGAGCACCACATCAAGTTCTGTGCTGACAGCTCGGGGCCTGGAGCCTGCTTCGGATTCTGTGTCTCCTCTCTCTGCCCCTCCCCCACAGACGCTCTGTCACTCTCTCTCAAAAATAAACATTTAAAAAATTTTTTCTTAGGGGCGCCTGGGTGGCTTAGTCAGTTGAGCGTCCGACTTTCGCTTGGGTCATGATCTCGCGGTTCGTGGGTTCGAGCCCCGCGTCAGGCTCTGTGCTGACTGCCAGCTCAGAGCCTGGACCTGTTTCAGAGTCTGTGATTCCCTCTCTCTCTCTGACCTTTCCCTGCTCATGCTGTCTCTCTCTCTCTCCTAGAAATAAATAAAACATTAAAAAAAAATTTTTTTTTCTTAAATAAGTAAAAACTCAAATGCTGATAAAGTTATTCACTGAAATAATTTAATACATTAACCCTGAGAGTATGAAAGAAATCTGGCAATAAACCATTCCATTCCTTTAATTAAGTAATCACCATTCTAGGAATCCTAAGACATTCCTAAATATATATTTTTAAAAGCTTTACACATAATAAATTGTCACTGCAATGTTATCTGTAATTTTTAATTTAAAATTATCTTTTTTGGGGCGCCTGGGTGGCTCAGTCGGTTAAGTGTCTGACTTCAGCTCAAGTCATTATCTCAAGGTTCATGAGTTCGAGCCCCACATCAGCCTCTGCTGACAGCTCAGAACCTGGAGCCTGCTTTGGATTCTGTGTCTCCCTCTCTCCGCCCCTCCCCCACTCATGCTGTCTTTGTCTCTCAAAAATAAACATTAAAAATTTTTTTTAAAAAAACAAAATTAACCCTTTTTTCTTTTAGAAGTGTATTGTAAACCTTTTTTAAATGAAAACTAAGAGGCAGCCTCCAAACTATAGTCCCATCCTAGAAATAACCACTGTTAACACTTCAAAATTATCTTTTTCCCCACTTACAATATATAAACAGAAGGAACAATACCTGAACAAAAAGTCACCCATGTACTCAAATCTTGGTTTCTAATACCATTCTCGACTAAAAAGAAACACAGCACCTAGAGAAATGGTTGATCCTAGGGCTGGGACAGAGAATACAAATGATAGACATGGAGGATCCTACAGTGGCACAAAGTCAGGAAGTATTCAAAAGGACAAAGCAGTGAAGGATGTCAAAGGGACACAGGAGCACCTGAAAGAGCTCCAATGGCCACACCTGGGCAACAAAATTAATAACATACGACTCATCGTATCTCACAATTAATATCTATGAGGCCATCATGACATACAGGAATGACTGAATAAAAATATAAATGGGGGAGAGAAGACAACTCTCCCACATGGATGAATCCCAAGTAACTGACAGCTGCTACTCCCCCCTCAAAAGGGCAGAACATAATTCCTCACCCCTTAAGCGTGGGCTGCGTGCAGTAACTTCCTGCTGAAGAGGCAGTAGGGAAAGGGCCGGGGGGACTTTCAGCAGAGCAGTCTATAACCAAATCTTTCATAAAGTCATTTTGTAATAGGAAGAAAATCTTGCGAATAGTCCTACATACAGCAGTTAAATACATCAGAAAGCCACTTACCTCCAGTTTAAAAGCCAGGCCTACAAACGGGTGGGAACTGTTTCTTTCGGGGTTCATTAAGATTTTGTTTTTCTCTTTTGAGTCACTTAAAAGAAAGGTAAATCTATGAGATGCAATATTTGATAACATCAATTTGTTTCATCAAAGAGTTTTACATGAGAAAAAGCACATGCATGCTAAACATTTGTGACCTCCCATAGGTGAAATTCCACTGAAAGAAATTATTAAGAATAACTTCTCAGGGCTTAGTTACTACATTATGACAGGACCAGAATAGACTAAAAACACAGAAGTGGCAGAGAAAGAAAAGAAAAATAATCAATGAGAATTTAAAAAATGTTTGTTTCTCAAAGTTTGGTTTTTTTGTTTTTTTTTGGTATGACTGAAAACAGCTGGTCCCAAATGAAAAAATTTACTAAAGATGTAAACCTTGGTAGATAATAAATCATGCTTCTAACTCACCAACAGAATGAGCTATGGAAAGTGGTATAGTAAGTATTTTTCTAGATGTCAGAGTGTTACCCAGATAGAAACGGGTGATTGATTTTAGTAAATTATAGGAAAACAACAACAAACACAACTTAATCGAAAGTTGTCAAATTCTTAAATCCTTTCATAGAATGTAAGTGTTAAAGTATTTGTGTATAAACTAAGATTCAATTTCCAAGACTTACTTTTCCTGATTGAGAATAGCATAATTTTGGACTTCAGATGGATTTGGGAGGTATTCTAAAACAGCATCTAGAAGAGGCTGAACTCCCTTGTTCTTCAACGCACTTCCCACAAAGACAGGAGTAAATGATCTATTTAGAGTAGCTCTTCGGATTGCATGCTACAAAAGAAAAAAAAAATAATAATTATTAGTTAACCTTAAAAAGTTTTGTGTTTCAAATCAATTACAAACCCACAAGTGAAGAAAATGAACTGATGCTCTTTGGAGCACAGGCTACTGTGGAGACTAGCATTAGGTCTCTATAACTTAAGGTCAAAATACAAGAAGAAAAATCTGTTCCTTTTTCAGGGCTAGGAAGCTATTTACTGTGTAACTGCTTTTGACACTCCTGCAATGTCACTAATTTTTAATCTGACAAAAAAACACATACATACACGTAGAAAACAGGCACACACAGAACTGTCTAAGCAGTATGCTAACAATTATGTAAAACAAAAGGAAAAGTAATGCACACACACCAATCTCTGGAAAGATACACCAAAATCTATTAATCGGTAATCTGTCTGCAGGAAGAGGCAGAAAACTAGGCAAACAGGAGTCAGGTGGGAGATTTTTTTTTTTTTCACTGTGTACCTTTTTGTTTTTAAATGTTTAAGACAAATGAAAATAGCATCTTTAATTGACAGATTTGTTTTCTTTTTTTAAAAACAACATACATACAGGAAGCCAAAGAGTACAAATCACTCATAAATTAAGGATCATGATTGTCATACAGGCTCTAAAATAACAACCTCCAGGTTGTACCCCAACCCCTAGTGCCAGCACTACTCATGCGCCCCAGCTGCGTGCCCCAGGCGGCCCTCCTGGCTAAGCAGGCCTCCCGGCAGCTGTAGATCTTACAGCAGTGCTGCAGCCACAAGCCGCCACAGTAGACATGCGGAGCCAGCGTACAGTTCTTTCTCAGTCCTCATGAAAAAACAGAAAACTAGCTACCCTAAAAGACATTTACAACCACAATTTCTAAACACCACCACAGTGAAGAGTAGGATAGCAGCTGCATATGATAAAGGGAGTAGTATGAAAAGGGTGAAGGATGCACAGCAAGAAAGAAATTACTATTTGAAATGATCACAAAAGCTGGCTTTTGCTGTTCCTAGGATCCAGAAATGGCTACATTACTAACCACTTAGGTTACCCCTATGCCACATGATCACAACTCTGACTTTCCACCCCTCTCATATATTCAAGTAGGGACATAAAAGAATCTTACCATCTTTAGTTTACATATATTTGATACAGAAACACTTGAGGGTGGTAGATTTAACAAAAGCTTTATTTTTCCAAAAATCTCCCTTGTTTTCCTAAGTATCACTTTCACGCTTGAAAGTTGTTCCTACATCCTAGGTTTAATTTTTTTTTTTTTTTTTTAAAGAATGTCTATACTTTTTCTACAGTGACTGCATCACTTTACATTCCTCCTAGCAATGCACAAGAGTTTCAATTTCTCCAAATCCCCGCCAATACTGGTTATTTTACAGAAAATAACATTAACTGGGGCACCTGGGTGGCTCAGTCGGTTAAATATCTGACTTCGGCTCAGGTCATGATCTTGCTGTTCGTGAGTCTGAGCCCCGCATCAGTCTCTGTGCTGACAGCCCAGAGCCTGAAGCCTGCTTCGGATTTGGTATCTCCCACTCTCTACCCCTCCCCAACTTGTGCTCTGTCTCTTTCTTTCAAAATTAAATAAAAAATATTTTAAAAAACACATTAACAGAAAAAAAAATTATTCTGGGTTTTTGGTTTGTTTTAAATAGCCATCCTAGGGGCGCCTGGGTGGCTTAGTCAGTTGAGCGTCCGACTTTCACTTAGGTCATGATCTCGTGGTTCGTGGCTTTGAGCCCCGCGTCGGGCTCTGTGCTGCCAACTCAGAGCCTGGAGCCTATTTCAGGGCCTGTGTCTCCCTCTCTCTCCGACCCTCCCCAGCTCACGCTCTCTCTCTCTCTCTCCTAGAAATAAATAAAAATATTAAAAAAAAAAAAAAGCCATCCTAATAGATAAAGTGAAATCTCATTATGGTTCTGATTTGCTTTCCCTAATGATTATTGATGCTGAGCATCTTTTTGTGTGCCTATTGACCATCTGTATGTCTCCTATGGAAAAATTATCTATTCAAAAAACAAATACAAGTCTCAGAGATCTTATTTTTAAAGAACTAAATGATCAAGTCAAGAAATCTATACAGCCCTTCTAAATAGTACTACACATATCAACATTTAGTCTGCAAACATTTAACAGCCTTGTCTCTTAATCGGTCTTTATTGCTGTAACATTTCTGTATTTATCTTTTCTTAAGATATACCCAAGAGGTTGGATGTTTAAATATCTTTTTTTCTAAAATAAACTGTAACTTTTTTCCCATTTTAAGATATTACAGAACTTATTACTTTAAAAAGAAGAGTTATATGCCACAGCCAAGTATTTTTTGAAAAAAATCCACAATGTTAAATAAATTTGCTCAGATTTCATTAATAAAAGCCATGCATAAAAGCATCATGCCTTTTCCCCCCACCAAAAACAAACAAAAAAATCCCACCTCTTTTTCTGGATAATCTAAGACTTATTTTGAGAGCACTTGCCTTTAAATCAGAAACTGAGGGGATTTTTTCTTCCAGGAACATCTCTCCAAGCTGTTCATCTGAATTGGCAACACATTCAATCAGTTCCTGCCGCTGGTCAGCTGCTGCTGCCCTGAATTCTGCAGGAATTTCCTCATATCGAACAACTTGACTAAAAAAAGAAATGCTTTGTGTTGCTACTTTAAGGATATTCAATTAAACATAAAATGCATCAACGACAAAAATGAACTCTAATGCCTAATTTTTTTTAGATTAAGAACTGATATATTTGCATTAAAATGGCAATGTAAGACCAATGTGTATCTTTAAAATTTAGACAAAAGAGTGGGCAAAAATACTTAAATAGGCAAAGTAAATCGCTCAAGGTTGTACTACTAGTAAATGTAAGAGACAAGATTCAAAGCCAATCTGACTCCAAAGTTCATATGACTCCTGAAAATTCTATTAACTGAATTAACCAGAACATCACAGTCACTAACAAACAGGAATAGAGACCTGACTCTATTTCTTTCCATTAATAACCCAATTACACAATGTTAACATAGAATACGTTAATTTATAGTTTAGAAAAAAAAAAAGGTTAGTAAATATGACAAACTCTTCAACCTTTACCCCAAGTTCTCCGTTCCTCTATAGGCTGAATAGGTAGACTCACAAAGTATACACAACTGAGAAATGGATATACTTGATATTTAAAAACATCAGTCTCAAAGACTTTCAAAGTATTTCTTTAAAAATGGAAACTAATTTCAAAAAAGTAAGCTTTTCAAAAAACATGTTCCTAAAATAAAAAAGTAAAAGAAGTCAACTGCAAATAGTGAGAATAAAATTCTTATTATCCTAAAGAATGCTCTTCACAGCCTTCAGATCATAATTTCACCCTTCCTGTTAAGCTCCCTGGTTCTTACTCTTTTGTGTCAAAATCATCTGTGGAGACCTTTCAAAATTTATATACCCAGTGGTCTAGGGCTGGGAGAGGGGCCAGATATAAGAAATTTTTATCTGTGGTCGGAGCATACAACAAAGTTTAAGAGCCTCTACTTTAGAAGACAACTGTGTGCCCTGGTAATTCTGGGAAAGTGGATTTATTCATTCATTTACAAATATTTTTTTTAGTACTTATTACGTACCAGTAAGTCCTAGGACTGGGGACACAGCACTGAATAAACTTGACTAAAATATCCCCGTCCTCTTGACCTTACATTCTAAGAAACAGTAGATGAACTGTAGTCACTATCGTTACAGAAAAAGTGAGAGAAACACCAAAACCTCTCTCTGCCTCCAAGACAGCTGAAGAGGACAAATGATAGTTAACTGATCACAACACCTTTCACCCACCTGCCAGCCTAGCAATTTGTTTCACAGCAGAGAAAGAAAACCTCTCAGGAATTATCCTTGGAGAAACTGCCAGGCTACTGAGGCCACTCCTCATAAGGAAGGGTTGTTTATGACCTCCCATAAGGAAGGGTTGTTTATGACTTCCCACATCGTGCAAAGCCACTCAAAGTGTGGTCTGTAGATCTACAATGGCAGCAGCACCTGTGAGCTTTCTAGAAATGCAAATTCCAGGCTCCACCCTAGAGCTACTGAATAAGAATCTTCTGGAGGTAGATCCAGGAATGTGCTTTAACAAGCTTTCAGGTGATTTTTCTGAATGTCAAAGTTTGATAGCCACTGGGAAATTACAGTGTTTTGTACGCAGAGGTCAGTCAAAAGTTGACTGATGGACCAAATACCATGTCAAAAATTACCAATATTTTCTTGTATTTCTTCTTATATTATCCAAACCACATCTGTACTATTTTTGACTGCTTTCACATATTATCCTTTTAGCTTTATAATCTCACAAAGTAGGTAGAGCACCTTTGATCCATATATTCTTCCCAGATTTTATCACAACATGTCATAACATGATATAAATTACCCAAAAAGTAACATACTCTCCCTTGGAATCAATACTAAGCAAAATGGGAAGTAGGATTAAAGGCATTAAAACAAAGTCATTTTGAAGTATGTTCCTCCAGCCAGATTTTAAAAAGAGGTTTCCTCGAAGTTTAAAGAACTCATCCTTCTGATGTTTCTTAAAATATAAGATTTCACTAATACATTTCTAACTTACCCAAAGTCTCCATCAAAGTAAATGGCTCGTTCCTCAATAAGATCTATTATACCTTTAAAATCACCCTCCAAACCAATGGGTATCTGCACAAATGCTGCATTATGACTCAATTTAGACCTGAAAAATAAAAATACACACGTTTACCTCTTTTTTTCCCCTGCCCTAAAACCCTTTGAAATGACAAAACTAAATCAATAGCAGATGTTGTGGAACTGGGAGGGAAGATGTTAGTTGGAAGAGGCCCACACAGGAAGCCAAAACCCCAATTAGGCAACAAAAGAACTCTAAACTCAGTGTTTTCCAATCAGATCCCCAGAATAGTCTGGATTAAAAACAGAAAGGGGGAGAACAAGTCATTGGTGATTGGTCAGAAAATGAAAGCAGAGTGGGAAGTGGGATCACCTTGTCCACCTCTCATTCTTAAACCAGCTGCCTTTAGCAAAGGGAAGGATAGCTGGCTGAAAAGGACATTCTTACAGGAGACCTCTGAGTGCGCGTGTTAAAAATCAGACATTCATCGTTAGGTTGTACCCTTTAGCAGACACGATCACTCAAGGGATTCAGCAGCAGGAATTGTCACTCAAGAAGAAATATACTCTAGCTACTATTGTTTAGCCTACACTCTAGGCTCCCATGTATAGCTCCGAATAGGTAACTAGAAATCACCAAATAACTGAAGGTTTACCAATAGCTTAAAAGAGAGTTGTGAGCTCAAAAAATAGTAATCACTTCCAAGGGGAGAGTTACTAAAGAAAATAAAACGTAAAGGTCTGAGAAGTAATCACCCCATTAATGAAGATGTTGCAATAAAAGAGAAGCATTATGGAAATTACGTAATTGCAGAAATAAAAAAAAAAAAACCAACAGGCAAAATAACAGATGGGACACAGATGACTATCAGATTTGTGAGCTGGAAGACTGACCTCAAGAACTCTCTCATAACCCAGTCCAAAATAAGAAAAAATGAGAATGTACAGTAGCAAAGTTAACACATGGACACAGATCCAGTTAGAATTTCTAACATCTGTTTAATGGGAGTTACAGAATGCAGATAAAAGGGAGCAGAGCTGAAAAGAACCGCAGTAGTCAAATGCTAAAAGAGAATCTTCCTGGTATTCAGACCAAGACTTGGTGGAAACAGTCCATCTCTTGCCAAGCACAAGTAAAATATAATAAAGACAAAAAATGACAACACTATGTTTTCCCAGGAAAATATTACAAATACCCAAATTCATCACTTCCAAGAGGCACACAAAGCAATGCTGTCACTTGAAGTTCAATACCAATCTTGTCACCAGGCACACTTTGTCGCTCTTTGTCTCTCACTACCACAAACTTTATTGTCTGTTTTCATCAGCTCTGCCATGCGAATTGTGACTAGGAACTCGGCAGCTACATTTACACGCCTACAAAAAGTACAAAGTGAAACTTCGACTCTTTTCAAAAGCTATGTGAAATATACAGTATAAAGCAAAACGTACAATGCTACAACTACTACTCAGTTATACCTGCTACAGAAAGGAAGTGTTACTCTGGTCTCAGCAAGTATGTTACCATATGAACCCAATGGACTATATACCACACTACTTACGGACATCAATTCAAATTCCTTATGTAAAGAAGAAAAAAAGAGAGGATTCCCTAGGTTTGTCTAAATATATAAAAGGATTTTCATAATCTATGCTAGATTATTATTTCTCCAATCACAGCAAAACTGAATTATCCAACTGTTTTCTGAACTCACCTTAAATCTCCCTACAATTTAAGTTATATTTTCCCCATTTTACAGAGAAGGCAGTTGATGAGATAATCACCACAAAACTACTGACCTCAGTGTTTCTTTCTTTTTTTAAAGTTTCTTTGAATGTTTTATGTATTTTTGAGAGTGAAAGAGGGAGACACAGAATCTGAGGCAGGCTCCAGGCTGTCGGCACAGAGCCTGTGTCAGCTCATGAGATCATGACATGAGCCGAAGTCGGATGCTTAACCGAATGAGCCACCCAGGTGCCCCTGACCTTGGTGTTTCTTTTAATAAGTGACTCACATAAATAAATTTTTTAGAGGTAAAAAAAATTACGAATAAAGCTTAATGACACTGAATTAACTGTCCTTCCGGATGTAAGCTTTCTTATATCCAGATCATCACAGCCTTTCCTGTTCTAAGGCTCAGTACCTCATTTGCTGCAGGGCCCTGGCTGGGTTGGAGCCCATTCGGTCCAATTTGTTAATGAAAGTTAGAAATGGAACGTTGTAGCGCTTCATCTGACGATTAACAGTCATGGTCTGGCACTGCACCCCTCCGACAGCACAGAGAACAAGGACTGCACCATCCAACACTCTCAGGGCCCTTTCAACTTCTATTGTGAAGTCCACGTGTCCTAAATGAGACAAAGTGTGTGAGAGTCTTAGAGAGCAGTATGAATTTTGATAACATGCACAGTTTTAAGTTCTTATAACTCTGCTCATGACATAAGTCTTCTAATTAGAATGCGGATTTCTTAAACCACCACACCATTTACTCACCATAAGGTCCAGGGGCCCAACTCTTCAAAAACTACTAGGGCGCAGCCACCTTTCAATCAGCCACAGCTTGTAACAATCAAGAATCTTCCTGCTCACAATTTATTTGTACTATTTTTCAAGGAAACCACAGGAGGAGGAAGTGTTCTAGGTCCCAAGTCAGATCTCTCTAACAGGAATTCAGTCACACTTTTGAGTATTATTTGACAGTCAAAAATGAGCTGGATCATAGTGAAGAACTAAATGTGCTTTTGTGAAAACAAGCTGCAATAAAACCAAGAAAGAAGTCAACTCACCAGGAGTATCTATAATATTGATATTGACATCCTTCCACATGGTGTAGGTGGCTGCTGACTGAATAGTGATTCCTCTTTGTCTCTCTAGTTCCATAGAATCCATGACAGCACCGACTCCATCTTTACCTTTCACCTAAACATGAGCACAGCAAGTCAGATTTCCCTGTCCCTGCATCCCAAGGAGAGAAACCCTTACTGAGATGGAACTAGAACACAGCTAGTTAACCGATGCAATTTTCAGAGGCGGCTATCCTCAAACCATATCTTGAGAAATAAAAGAGTGATTACAGGTTTTGCCCTCTATTTACTGCCTCTCTTTTCATCGCCGTTCTCAGCACCACTAGCAGAGCAATCACCTCAGTCTTAAGAGCCAGCCTTGTTTCCTTTACACTATTCCTGCCCATCAGGTTTGTGGTAGTCACATGCAGATGTTCAGAGAACAGATTTTTCCCTGCTCTACTACATGTGGATTTTGAGGCCTGGGTGGGAAGGATTCAGCTTTCAAAGTACTTGTGATTTAACAAGATGAGCTTCCTCTGAAGAAATGGAGAGTTAAGTTATTCAATGTTAGGATAAAATCTTTTTCTTTTTTTTTTTTTTGCCCCTCTCTCATAATGTATATGTCTGCCCACCATCAGGAGGCCACAGCTCAGGTGGGGTCTGACCATGCCTCCAGGTCCAAATATGGATTAGATGTCCAAGGCAGCAGGTGAGCCTGGGCACACCAGGGGAAGTGCCGCTGGGCTGTCAGCACTTTGGGAAGCCCCAAGTCACACTTGGTGGCAGGTGGGAGGGAAGCAGCATCCCAAGTGTGGGGGCACAGGTCTCCTCCTCACAGACAGGCAGAATGCACAAGCAGGCCCCTGCCTCGCAAAAGGCATTTATGGAAATGGGGGTGGGGGGGTGCTGGTAGTCCTCAGGGGAGTCAGGGTCAAAAGTTGGCTCGTTTCTGCTGCAGCTGTGAATTGCAGGCTCAGGACACAGTGTTCCAGGGGTCCACGTAGCAGTAGCAGTCCATGTACTGGCAATGCACTTCTGTTCCGAACTGTCCAGGGAGCCGCTGGCTTCCAGATGCACTTCCGGAAGCACTTGTCTGTCATCCTCTGCAGCTGCTCCTGCGCCGTAGCCACTGCGATCTGCACCTTCACCTGCTCCATGCTGAGCCCCCGGGCCCAGCCTGCCGCCGCCTCAGCTCCCAAAATCTGAGCCCAAACCACACTCCATGGCTCCGCAAAGTACAAAAACAATTTTTTTGATGCATGTATTTTGCAACTATAAACATCATACTACATATAGTTTTTAAAGTCTTTTTCCACTTTACAAACATCTCTCCATAACATTAAAAATTACGGAAATACTACTTTAACAGCTGCTTAATACATCATGACTTTTTAACGGAAGTGTTAATTAACAAAGTTATATTAGTTTCAGGTGTAGACTTAACGTTCCTAAAAGACAATTCACTGAGAATCCACACAGTGATGGTCTCTAGGAAGATTCCTCACAACCACACTGCGAGCCAGTATGAACTATCCCATTTGTGACAGGACTCTGACTAAAGCTCCACTGTTCCCATTCTTTTAATCTTTCAGGTTTTGTAATGTTCATTAAATCGTAACTACTAAACAATTAAAACCAAGCTCTCACTAACCCGGAACCAACCACGAACCACATACCTCATGCATCTTTGCAATTCTGCCAGTGTAGTAAAGCACTCGTTCTGTCAATGTAGTTTTCCCAGAATCAATGTGGGCTGAGATTCCAATATTTCGTATCTTTTCATTAGGAATCACCCCTGATGAACACCATCGGCAGACTTTCCAATTAACCTGAAAAAATAAGACAGCTCATTTCAGTGCACTAACTATAAGAGATAACACTGGGTAATTAGAACTTGGTTGGTTGGTATCTTTCCACCAACGAATCTCAATGGACACCAAGCACCACTCTAGACAGCGTGGAAAGGCAAAAAAAGGAATGAATGCCTCAACCTGTGGCTCTTGTAACCAAAGGAGAAACTACAAGAGAGGACAGAAGAATTCACACATTCTTAATAAAAACTAACTAAATCTGAAAAGATATATACAGGTACCAAAGAAGCGAATTAAATAAAAGGGGACAGGTACTTTCCCAAATATCACAGGTTTGAAATTATCCGCTGGGGCTGATAAAACCAGAAAGACAACTTCCAACCACTACTTCAATAGGAAATACAGTTTTTAGTTTAAATTTTACTTTGATTTCCCGCCCTTTTCCCTTACTGTAGTGTGGGCCACCGCTAACAAGGATGTCTGCAGTCTCCAAGGAAGCCCACAAAAAATTTCCAATTCCTTCTAAGCACAAAAATAATGACTTTTTAGAAAAACTTTTATTCTGCTGGGAGTGAGGGTAAAGGAGAATCCTGCATTTTACGGAATCAGGACGCAATGTAAGCCTCTATCTATAGGACTGCACATCCAAAACGTACCGCAGCCCTTTTGGGGAAAGGAAAACGGGAGACCTTAGAAACGGCGGACAAATACTAAATGTATTCTGGTGGACAGGCACTTAGATAACTAATTCCACGACTACCAGCACGGAAAGCAAACAATGTTTGCATATTAGGAAAAGCTCAACTCCTGCCCAATCCTACTCCATTCTGCAACCCCCACAAAAGACAGAAATGCAAAGAAGAGTACCGGAAAGGCTGAACGCCAAAGCAAGTAACCCATCCCAAGGACACTGTGCAGTGAAAAGAGCACTAGACGATCTGTCAGAAGCCTTGGGATCGAACCCTGAATACACTAATTTTTCAGCTGGTCGGACCTTCACTCCAGTCACTTCTCTTTAAGGTATACCAAAAAGGGCCTTAACCATAAATCGGTGGCCCGTCCACTCTGCCAAGGCACCGAGACGCAGCTCACGAACAACGAGAACACGTGCAGGTACCGAAAGGCTCTTCAGCACTGAGGCACGACAGCTCCTATCCAGAGCTGTCAGGAGGTCCCAGGGAAGGAATCACTGCTCCCTTAGCCCTGGAGGACAGCAACGTCCCGTCCGCAGTCTCTGGTTCGGTCTCGCCTCGCCGGGCTCTAGTACCTGCTTCCCCTGCCATCCCAGGGTGGCGGGGACCCGCGGGAGAGGTCCACGCCCCAGAGCTGAGGCGACAGCTCCCAGCAACCTCATCGAGGCAAGCGCAGAACCGGTGTAAAGGTCCGGTGGCTCCGGGTCTGCTCTGCAACCAACCCCACAACTTGAAGCGTTCGAAGTCACGCCGGCAATCAGGGCCGGAAAAGTGCTTCCGGGGTGAAGGACGCTAGGGAGGCGAGGGGAAGGGAAAGAGGGGCTTCCGGACTTCAGAGCCGAACAGCGCCTTCCGACGCTGGGCGCCCTCTATAGACTTGGAAGAGATAGTGTAGTTGCTTTGTAGAGCCAATGGAACAATTTGCGTGCTCCCAGAAAGATGCAAACTTTCAAACGTGTTTGCGTATTCATTGTTGCTGTCATGTCTCCTTTTGTGTAGGTTTGAAATTTTTCATAACTTCAGAAAAATCTGAAATGTATTTCCCTCCCCCATCAAAGTGCCTAGAAGGTCCGGCTTGAGCAGCCACACCAATATAACAATGTGGAGAAATGTTTACAACAGAATTTAAGTGAGAAAAATGCAAAATTGTTATCTATGATATTACAAACACGAAAAAAAATGATCTATAAGACATGACTTGAAAAGAATGTGGAAAAATGAACTATCAATTACAAGTGGGTTTTTTTCTTCTCATTTCAAAAAATTCATTGTTCGATGTTAAATGTTACATGTTCAGTACGTATGGATGACAGTATCCTTGCCGATTCCACTTGGATGTCTTAGAAGTGTCTCGAACTCTGTAGGTCTAAAACAGAGCTTCTGCTCTTCCTCTCAAAATCTTCTGTCGTCTTTATCTCGTGAATGGAAACTCCATTCGAGTTGCCCTGACCAAAAATGTTAGTCACTTCGACTGCACTCTCTGACACCTCTGGTCTAATCTGTCAGCGTATGCTACAGGCACCACCTTCAAAACTAGGTCCAGAACCTGCCCTGGACTCCCCACCTCTCAACACCGCCATCTCTCCACCTCACTGCTGTATAATAGATTTCCTTCATGATCTCACTGCTCCCCGGGAGGCGGTTTAGACTATTCACAACCTGTGACTAGAGGGCTCCTTTTAAAGTCACACCATGTCATTTTCCTAATGAAAATACTCCAGTGAGTTCATTGTTGCTGTTAGCTCTACTTCTGTGTCGGTTCGAAACTTTTCATAAGTAAATTAAAAACAAAAATCTGAAATGGCTTCCCCTTCCCCTCAGAGAAAGTGCGTCCAAAGGCCCTGCCTGAGCAGCCAGGCTAACGTGGCCGCGTTTCCCTTGCTGGTTTTGCTCCAGCCACACTGGCCTCCTTGCAGATCCTCCTATGACCAGAGAGTTTGCTCTTCCCTAGATACGGGGGTAGCTCTTTCCTTTATTTACTTCTCTCTGTTCTAATAGCCTCATCAATGAGGTGTTCCCTAAGGAACTCTTCTAAAACAGGGGGCTCCTCCCTTACTACCTTCCGATGCTGTTTCATTTTCCTTCCTTCCCATACCTGTTTATTATCTGACTCTCTCAATGGAAATCAGTTCCATAAGGAGAGCAATCTGCTTTTTGTTAATTGCTGTATCCCTTAGCATGTGCTGGGTGCTCCACAAGTATTTGTTAAATGAATGTGTGAATGAGAACAAATAAATAGAAATCAAATTACAGGAGACAAGAAAAGAAAAACCAAAATCTCAAAGATCAATTTCAAATTTACTTTTTGTATATCATCCATGTATTAATTTGCAATAAAGGATTTGTAAACTGATTTGAAGAATAAATCCATTAACATTGAACATAACTTTAAATAAACATTTCTGACGGACTTTCAAAATTTTAGTCTTTATAAACCTTCATATGTATTTGTTTAAAATATATAAATTAAATACATAATTAAGTAAATGATGAGATTAAACTTTAATAGTTTTTTAAAGTTAAATTTCATTCTCATTGTCTTATGTGTATACATATATATTCATTTTTCTGTAATTATTGTACCAACTATCTTTTTGTTTTTATTAACCATTTTTAAACAAAGTAATCAACGTTTCTTTACTCCAAAGAGAAAACTGGAAGGCAGAAAATCAAGAGCTGTCTATCTAAATTTTTATGAGTATTTTTATAGATTAAGTTTTAAAGTGGCAAAATAACATTTGCAATGTCATCCAATGCATTTCTACACTGTTAATTCATAATCATTTTATAATGTATAAGAAAATTGAAACTATCCCTAGTTACCAAAACATTGTATCTCTTTTCACTTAGAAATTGACCAAGTATTCAAGGACTAATTTAATTTTTTCTAAGGTCTAGAAAAGTTAACTGAGGATCTGAAAAATCACATTTTTAACTAACATATTCATTCTTTATAATTGATAGTATTATAATAATATGTAAGATTAAAACCCCCTTAGAAGACATATGTGTTACAATTTTATTTAAGCATCATTTTATATGCTGTAATCTTAATGGAGTTAATGATAACTTATTTGACCCATAAGATCAAAATAGGAAATCTGTAAAGTTTTTTTTTTTTTGAAAGAGAGAGATACAGAGCATGAGCAAGGGCGGGGCAGAGAGAGAGAGAAAGAGAGAGAGAGAGAGAGAGAGAGAGAGAGAATCTGAAACAGGCTCCAGGCTCTGAGTTGTCAGCACAGAGTCCGATGTGGGGCTCGAACTCATTCAGGAACTATGAGATAATGACCTGAACCGAAGTTGGATACTTAACTGACTGAGCCACCCAGGCACCCCAGATACTTGTAAGGTATAAATGAGAAGTTCAACCTTAGTTTTATATAAACTAGAAGTTTTTATTAGCATTAATGTTATATAATAAAAATTGGAAGAAGACATACACTTGACTTTAAATATTCATTCATTTACCCAGATCCATCCACTTATCAGAAATATTTCCTAAAGCTTTTTAAAAAACATTTTATAAACCTTATATTCATAATCATTAAATTATATTTAAAAGCTCCTTTTTATCTTGAATCATACTAACACAATCTATTTAACTAACAAAAGCTATTGCTTAAATTGTCCATATTCTTATGCAAAAGCAGCATAAATAATTTATTAGCTTTTTCTCTTAGACATTTTATACTGTTTATTTGGAGTAGATTTTCCTAGATTGCACATATGACAGAATGACTTTAATTCATCTTTAAAAATTTTCAAGTGGGAGGAAAAAATAGGGAGAGGAACAGAAAAAATGGTGAACCAGATGCCATATTAAAATTTTTAAGTTTGAGGGGCACCTGGCTGACTCAGCAGCAGAGCATGCAACTCTTGATCTTGGGGTTGTGGGTTTGAGCCCTATGTTGGGTGTAAAGATTACTTAAAAAAATTAAAATATTGAAAAAAATGTGAGGTTTGATGAGGCTTTTTGGGGGTGACAGTGGGATTCGTGGCGTCTGGAGCCGACAACCAAGAAAGAATTCTTGAAGATGTCTTTGGTGCAAGGTGATTTTATTAAAGCACAGGGACAGGACCCTTGGGCATAAAGAGCTGCTCAGGAACCACAAAGAGAAACTGGTTTATACTACGGAGGTGGGGAGAGGTAAAGTCCAGGGGAAGTTTCCAGTAACGTTTTCATATGCTAAAGAGACTCACAGGATAATGGAGGCCTTGGCATTAGCACTGAGACAGTATGGAGTTCCTGGAGAAACATTTTACTCTGCCAGCCTCAAGTATTTGTCAATGGGCTGTGGGTTATAAGGAAATTTAGTTCTATCTGCCATTTCCTTCTGCCTTTGTTTCCCACTTCACTATGGAGGGGTGATGGAGACTTACGTCTTGTAGGACTATGATCTCTATCAGTTAACCATTTGTTTTCCCCATTCTTTTGTTCTTGGGCAGCCAGGAGTGCCCAAGGAATATCACACAATTCCCACCTGGGGGTGGGGATGGGGTGTTTGTGGCCTGTCAGCTTGCCTTATGCTCCCTCATCAAGGTTGAGCAATAATCTATTGGTATCAGGCAGAGGCCAAACAGGAAGTGGTTAGAAGGTCTCCACTAACTAGATCTAAAGGAGACTTTTATAGAGAAGAGGTAGAAGCAAAGCAAAGCAATTATTTGATTGGCTGTAGCTTAAGTGGTTGCCTTATATGGGAAAGTCTAGTTGACTGTGATTAGATGTCTTTAGGTTTCGATCTCTTAGAGGCATTACAGGTTTGTTTTGGTTTGTTTACATGGGCTACTAAGGCATTAAAGCCTCAGTCTAATGGCTTCCTTGTTTAATTAATAATGCAAATATGAAAGTATTCCTGTAAAAGCTAATTACTTTCCCTCTTCAATACGGAGGAGAAAGTTTAAATATAAGCCATACAGTAAAAACTCTGAAGTCTAGAAATAAAAGATGGCTAGTCTTCTGCATAAGCAAAGTGGCCTCCTTTAGACAAATAAAGGCTCTCCTGAGGTTTTGTTTCTTTGTTGTTTCTTTGGTATTGTTCTTCAAGGTGTCTCTCAAGTGCAAGTCTTGCTTACATTCAAGTTCCCCAGAGTGGCCATTACAATTATCTGCTAAAGTTATGCCAGGAGGTAGGACAAGTCTATTAGATGACAAACTCATGAGAAACTGCCTGATATTCTCTATCAAATGTAAAATACTGCTATGTCTGTCTCAGGCTTTAACCCTAATGTTAAACCACATGACAACTGACCTGAGAAACACGGTTAGAAGGCAACATGGGTAGATAGAAGGTATCTCCCAAAGCAAATTTCTCATGCAACTGACAGGACTCAGGAAAGTTTTCACAGACAATTAACATAAGATGGTGGGCAAGTAGAAGATAGGAGATGGTGTTTAAAATTCACCAGAGGACACCAAAGTCTAATCAGAATCCCCAAACTCCAAGAGACAATAAGCATAACACTGGGGAGTAAGAGATCATCAGAATGCAAATTTACGGCAAAATCCATGTAATCAGGGACAGGGGGTCTCAAGAGGTCTCAGAAATGAACATTATTACCAAACAGAAGGTCCGAATACACTGTAATGAGGGTCATGGTCACACTTCAGTAGAATTTCCAAATTGCCCTAGCCCAATCAGCCTAAGACCACTGTCTTGGTCCATTCAGGGTGCTACGATAAAAATATCATAAACAATTGGGGTGCCTGGGTGGCTCAGTCAGTTGAGTGTCGTACTTCAGCTCAGGTCATGATCTCGCAGTTCACAAGTTCCAGCTCCATGTTGGGCTCTTGTGCTGATAGCTCAGACCCTGGAGCCTGCTTCCAAATCTGTGTCTCCCTCTCTCTCAGCCTCTCCCCTGATGGCACTCAGTCTCTCTCTCTCAAAAGTATATAAACATTAAAAAAAATACCATAAACAATAGATTGGCTTATGAACAACAGAAATTAACAGAAAGGGAAAGGGAGCTCTCTGGGGTCTGTTAATACAACTAATCTTATTCACGAGGGCTCTACCCTCATGAATGTCACCTCCCTGAAGCAAGATCTCCAAATACCACTTAGGGCACTATCTGATTTCAGTGTGCTCCTGCTCTGCCCTGTGATAATAAAGGATAACGGAGTCATGAAGGCAGAGTAATGAAAACCTATTACTGAGGTAGCCAGGTATCAGGAAAATCTCTAATGTAGCAAGGAGCCTAAGTAAGCAATTTGGCCTTATTGTTAAGGCCACATTCACCAAATAGTTACTGTCTTTCCATTCCCAAAAGATCCAGGGTTCTAGAAAAATCAATGGTTGTTCACAAAGAAAAAATAACATGAACTACAAGTTACAGAAAATCTTCTTTCTTATACTGGTTGACCTCTGCAGTATGGTAAAAATAATTCTGAAAAGTGGCTATTTCAGCATCATGTGAACATAAAGAATTGACATTTAATCTCCATATGTCACATATTTTTACAAGTAGCCTCTTATGAAGTACTGTGGCATAAGAAGAAATACATATTTAATTTGATTTTTATTTACTTTCTATGGTAAACAAATTGGGAGAAAAAATAGCTATGGATGCTCTAATTGCTATATGATACATTAAAGTTATACTGTTTTAATATAATTATTTATTAAAGTGTGTTTTCATACTTGAATATGATTAAAGTTATCACCAGTGTAAGATTTAGGCAGAAGGAGAATAATTACAGTGTCTATTCTATTGGGATTTTGCCCTATCAACTGAATTTATGCAGAGTGTTATTTAGAATTTATGTCTTATGACAACTTCCCAATATATTATGTTATTAGTATACTAAAGTATGCATAAGAGGAAAATGTTAACATCTTTAATACATGCTCACTTTTTGTTATAAAAATGAATTGACATGTATACCTCTTATTTTAGTAACTAATTAAAAGTATGAAACACCCTAATATATTATGGACAATTAGGAGAGCATAAGCACAGTCACATAGGTCTACTTCCAAAGTAAAAAAAAAAAAAAAGATATTAGGATTATGGAGTGATAGTGGATTTTCTCTTCCTTTTTCCCCCTTTCCAACAGAACTTAAGAGTTAAGATTTTATATTCTCATAAACTTCAAGTCTAACATTTATAAAAACAGACTGAATTATAGAATAAAAGAACTAAAGCTGAATTTTTAAATGGTATAAAGGGAACAACTGATTTATTAAGTACTTTGCTCAAACACACATATACCTTGTCTAAAAAATTTTGAGACAATCAATCATTCAAGTTTACAGAATACCAAATGCATTTTTGTAAATGTCACAAAAAGGCTGAGCAGAGTTACTCCAAGGACATTCCAACTTTAGAATGTTAACTGTGGAGACAGATTAAGCTGTTTCTGGGAAAGGGGACCAGAAATACGCTACCTTAAGAAGTTAAAGAGAAATGTCAATACAAAGTCTGATGAATGCTAAAAATGTAATCTAGAACAAAAAGGAATACACTGTAAAAGAAATTATAAGAATACAACTCATATATATTAGGAATTTAAAATCTCATTCCTTGAAATTCAGAATTGATTATTTTTAATGTAGTTTCTCAAATAATAACTAATTTCTCATAAAACAGTACTAGTTAGCTTTGCTTTATTTTTTTTAAATCTTTAAGCTAGCTGGCTACATAACATAAATAATTTTATCTTTATTAACTTTAAATCTTTATTAACTTTATTATCTTTATTATCTTTATTAACATCACTGTGGTATTGTTAGTGAAAACCAAGACTATTTTTTAACATTTTACTTTCTTATAATGAGTGCATATGATAAAACTAGCTCTAAATTCAATCTGGAACGTATAAAAGAACACATAACCAATAGGAAGATAACTGGGAGAGCAAAATCAGCTTTAAAAATTAGTATGTTTTAAAATAAAGAGTTTTACAAACGTTTAGCAACTTACTTAGATTGCAGAAAATCAAAGTTTTATTTCTAAAGTAGGGACAATACAAAGCTAGCACTTTCAAGAACATTCAGATGTCAGTAGTAAGTTGTTAAGTACAGTACTGATTTAACAAGGGATTGGTCTTACGTGTATTACCCAGCACCATTACTTTCTCTGTTAAAACAAAACTAAACAAATCAACTGCAAGCCTATTTATTTTTTATTGATTTTCACAGGTGATCCTTTGATGTTGAGTTTGTCCACAAAAACATTTGATCTTCTTCCATTTTCAATGGCTGGACTTTGATGAGATTTCTCCCTGAGAAATGTAACATGAACATTAATACCATTTTTTTAAATGGCCAATTGGCTTACAAATCAATACAAACATAATAAAAAACCACTGTAATTTATGGAGAGTTTTATCTAAAAATTCCATAATAGCTTTGAAAAACACATGGAAGACTATTTCATTAAAATTTAAGAAAGCAACAGCTGCTTTCCTGAGATAGACCTACCTGTTTAAACATATTATCTAACATGGTAGCCACTAGCCCCATCATTTAAATTTAAATTAATTAAAATAAAATAAAGTTTAAAATTCAGTTCCTCAGCTGCATCAGCCATATTTCAAGTATGATTTAATAGCCACATGTGGCTAGAGGCCACCATATTGGACAATACAGATACATAACATGTTTGTTATCACAGAAAATCATTTCAGAAAGTTCTATTGGATGATACTATTTTACAAAAAATGCCACTGATGGGGCCACAGATATACAGATTGTCTATAAAGAACATGCTTTCTCTAACAGGGACCTGGATTTCATAATTATACTTAGCACTGAAAAGTTTTTATCAATAAACGTTTCAAAGTGAGACAAATATTGTCTAAAAGTAATATGGGAGCAAATTTTCTATAGAAAATATTAGGGCTCTAAGCTCCTAAATAAGTTATTTAAAATAAAACATGCTGGCACATGATATTCTACACAAGGCTTCTGATTTACTTGGTACCCACTTGTCCACTGCTGGTTTTGTGAAGCTTCCACCTTCTGCAGTAATCCTCTGCTCTCTTATGGCCTAGAACAGATTTCTGTTTTAAGGCCTGGTGAAGCCTCTCTCTCTCAAGTATAATTTTAATAGGAATTAGGTATTGTTTTCCATTTTTTCCCCAGAGAATCAAATTCTAACTATACCATACACATTAAATGTACAAAAATCTCTAATCTTTAAGGTATAGTTTCAGCACATTTTTATTTCACAGCTATTCAAAAAGGTAATCCCAAAGGAGGCTAACGTTTTTGAAAAATTCTTCCAAAATATCTAATATCTTATACCTAATTTAGGTGCAGATATTGTTATATATCATACAAGTGTCTAAAAATGCATTTCCCATTGACTTTTTAGGGAAGGTTTTTTTTTTTTTTTTTTACATTTATTTATTTTTGAGAGACAGAGTGAGACACAGTGTGAGCAGGGGGAGGGGCAGAGAGAGAAGGAGACACAGAATCCAAAGCAGGCTCCAGGCTCCGAGCAAGCGGTCAGCACAGAGCCTGACGCAGGGCTCGAACCCACGAACTGTAAGATTATGACCTGAGCCGAAGTCGGACACTTAACCAACTGAGCCACCCAGGTGCCCCAGGGAAGTTTTGTTAAGCCTTTCGAAAAGAGCCCCTCTCTCCTTATATCTCTAGACACCAATATCTTTACCTGGCATGAAATGTATGACTCCTCTATCTAGACTAATATCTGTTTTACAAAAATAACTACATTATAGTATATCCCTCTTCCTTAAAAGGATTTTAGCCCCTATCTTCTGAGGCATAATTTCCTAGTGAGTTACTAATGATACAAACATAAAATATTACTGGTTTTTAGATACAAATTCAAATCTGTGTGGAATACTCAGATATAATGTAAAATTATTATATCCTTCACAAAAGATACTGTTGACACAAACAACAGATGTTAATCAAACTTCCTGTTACAGAGGAAAAATTACATAACTTTTCTTCAAATTCTTCTTTAAAAAGCACAATATATTTTAGAAATAACTTTTACCTTCTTTTAAGTTCTCGGGAGCCTGAACTCTCATGACCAACACTTCGCATCCTAGGGTTCTCCACATTGCGCCACTGTCCCACTGGTTTGTACTTCAAAATCTCATTTTGCCACTCATCATCAAAAGCGTGAGCATCACCTACATTAAATATCAAATTAAATAGGCAAGTATTAAGGTATCAACTGTCAGTAAATGCCTTGTTCCTACATACTGGATTCTGGCCTTGTGCTTCCATCAGTCAAACCTCAAGATAGAATAGATGCAGGGAAGTGCTCCAAATAAGGTCTTTGACTCTGGGCAGTGTTTCCTTTTTTGTTTGTCCCTGTTTTATTCCTATTGACAATTTGGTTATTGATGATCTGGTCTTCCATGCATCTGCCTGGATATCGTATTTTTCTACCTAGTGGACCCTTTGGCCCAATTATACTGACTTACAGTCTTTTTTGGGGGTCACCTCCTGGTGACCATGCTTTTCCTCTGTACTTGGACACTCCTGCTATAATAAGCACTTCTTATTTTTTTTTTTTTTTTTGTTTTATTTATTTCTAGGAGACAGACAGAGAGACAGAGTGAGCAGGGTAGGGTCAGAGAGAGAGGGAGTCACAGACCGAAACAGTCTCCAGGCTCTGAGCTGGCAGTCAGCACAGAGCCCGACGCGGGGCCTGAACCCACGAACTGCGAGATCATGACCTAAGCGAAAGTCGGACGCTTAACCGACTAAGCCACCCAGGCGCCCCTAATAAGCACTTCTTATTAACCTCATCGTTTTCCTACATACCTTGGCCTAACACATAAGCTTTTGTCAATTTCCTGACAGGTTATACATCTCGCCTGTCAATTTATGTTGCTATAAAGTAGGTAATCTAACTTCAATAATAACAATTGTTAAATAGTAATATTGTTCTTTCAGATGCCCTTTATAATAATAATGTGTTCTTTCACTAAATTTTTCTTCAGCATGTTAATTATTGTGAAGTACTCTTTATACATTTAACTATGACAAAATTACAAAGGTTAAAATTAAAGAAAGGTTAAGATGGGGCGCTTGGGGGGCTCAGGTGGTTGGGCATCTGACTTCAGCTCAGGTCATGATCTCACCATTTGTGAGTTCGAGCCCCACATTGGGCTCTGTGCTGACAACTCAGAGCCTGGAGCCTGCTGCAAATTCTGTGTCTCCCTCTCTCTCTGCTCCTCCCCTGTTTGCACTCTGCCTCTGTCCCTCTCAAAGAAAAACATTAAAAAAAAATTTTTTTTTAAAGATTAAGATGGGCTCTGCCGCCATCATGAACGACACAGTAACTATCCGGACCAGGAAGTTCATGACCAACCGACTACTTCAGCGGAAACAAATGGTCATTGATGTTCTTCACCCCGGAAAGGCAACAGTACCTAAGACAGAGATTCGGGAAAAACTAGCCAAAATGTACAAGACCACACCAGATGTCATCTTTGTGTTTGGATTCAGAACCCATTTTGGAGGTGGCAAGACAACTGGCTTTGGCATGATTTATGATTCCTTGGATTATGCAAAGAAAAATGAACCCAAACATAGACTTGCAAGACATGGCCTGTATGAGAAGAAAAAGACATCCAGAAAACAGCGAAAGGAACGCAAGAACAGAATGAAGAAAGTCAGGGGAACTGCAAAAGCCAATGTTGGTGCTGGCAAAAAGAAGGAGTAAAGATTCTGCAGTGACTATCTGGTGCTTTTGCAGATTTTCCATGAGAGGATTAATAAACTAACTGAGAACTTTAAAAAAAAAAAAAAAAAAAAGATTAAGATGTAACTTCCATCTCATCACCTAAGAATAATTTTATCAAGAGAATAAACCTTAAGAGAATTTCTTTTCTAAAACCCTTTAGTAAGACAAAACACTTATTGAAAATACTTTTTGAAAATAGGAGACCAATATAACCCAAAAACTACAATGAGAGAGTTAGGACACTGAAAGAACCTAAATGCATTGAAGAATAAATATAAAATCTAGAAAATGGAAAGACTTATTTAATATATACATGATATACTATCTAACAATACAATAAATTAAAATTGTATCTATACAAAACATTAAGTGCCCAACAGTACAGAATGGTTTAAATAAAATATGGCCTATTCAGGATAAAATTTTTAGGTAACCATTTAGAATGTTTCTGAAAACCTCATCATAGGTGACTGCTTTCACGATTATACTGGTGAATTAAAATAAGCACAATGTAAACTAGATAATACAATACTAACTTTGAAAGAAAGTTTATGTGTTTATATATCCAGAAAACTATTAGGAAGAAATACAGTAAAACAGTACAAATATTTTCGGTTGTGATTATGGATAATTTTATTTATTTATTTAGATTATGGCTAATTTTAATTTTCTTTTTTATTCCTTATTTTTCAAATATACCTCAGAAATATTCAAAAAGTCATTTTGCTTACTGACACTCTTACCAAATGACAATTCAAAAGATTCCATTTCCAAGTATAAAACAAAAAATGAATAGCATTACCAAAATCACTATAAAAAAACAGATCTACTATGAAACAATGAATCTACAATTTTATTACTTTGATAAGGTAGTCCATACACGTATTATTCATAAACTACCTCGAAAGGACATGTTATGAAGTGTTTCTACAAAAAACATTCAAGTTCTCACAGTAGAGCTGCTGTTTTAGAAGAAGAATGCTATTTTCTGTGACAACTTACTTTCACTCATATTGATGAACTCTTGATTGACCTCTTCATCTCCGGTTTTGTTGTTCTTTGACTTTTTAATGACATGAGCTCTGTCATGAAGATGATGACCTACAGCCATTTTTTCTAGCCCACTGTCAGAATCTCTCAGTGCTCTCCTAGTTTCCTTTATCTATAAAAATGAAGAAAATAAAAATGAGTTATTATTTAAATATACATAGAATGTTTATAATTCTAACTCCTCAGGACCTGTTTACCCACAGAGGTAAGGCTATAAATCTACAGCTCTAAAAATCCTGGGTACTCAGTTCCCCTACTAAGTTGCAGTAAAATTGTGGTAACAGTTCTCAGATATTTCCTGAACTAATTAAAATTAAAATGTCTACGGCAAATAGAACCAATATAATTTAACCTTTTTCTAAATTGTAATCAAATATTAAAACAATTAACTTAATTATATAAAACTTAGTGCTTGAACACTGTCCTTAACAATGTAATAGGAGTACATGCTAGCATTCCTACATGTAAAGGCAACTAATTATTCAGTAGTCATGTTGATGGACTGGAATCTCATGGATCCTACATATCAACTCTATGGGTTATTAGAATATTCATGATAGCCAAAGACTATTAATAGTTGATGTGTTTTATGAGTTAAAAAATTCATTTACTTCAGATATAAATTAAAAATTGACATTTATTTCACAAAACAAAGACTTTTTTTAGTGTCTACTTACCTGGTCAACATGTAAAGGTAATAATAAACATCAATAATAGATATTTACATAAAAAAGACACCTGAGGTGGGGGTGGGGAGACAAATAATTGCCTAATCTAACTAAAGGCAGCCAAAATTACTCTTTTTCACAGTGATATGTGTCTTCTCCTCCTTATCTCTAGTCCCAAAGAACTGTATCAAGCTTTAATAATTAAAATCTGATATAGGTGATGTATCATTCCAAATTTTATAAAAATGCAAGAATGCCCAGAAAATACTTACTCCTCCTGGAGCCCTACGGGTTTGAGTTGCGGCCTGGAAAACCTTTGGTGGTTCATCTCCTACTTTGGAATAAGTCATAATTGAGGAAGAACTAAATGAATGTCCATTTGGATCCACTGAAAGGTGACCCTAAATATAAAATTTAAATATAAAATGTAAATCCAGAGAGTTTAGTCAAATATGAAGAACTAATGTCAGAGGATTCAGGTAAGTGACAATACTAGCTAGACATTCTACTAAGGATATGGTAAATCCAAATGGAACTCCAGGAAAGTCCTAATCTCCTTTCATGGTAGGTACCAATTTTCACTCTCCTTGTGAGGAATAACAAGTGATTCACTCGGAGAGCCTTAGGTCTTTGAGATCACAGACTTGCAGCTTAGATTTAAATATAGATGCTGTGCCCTGTAGCCTATGATGCTTTTATAGCTACTGGTTGACCGTTGTATGTAATTTTGCCAACACTGAACCAATTAGCCATAAACCAAGAAGTTTTATTTATACCTCCTGTGGGTACCAGATTGGTAGATTACTAACATCATTAATAATGCCTTATATTTGGACATACTGAAAGGATCCTTAGATTCTAAACAGGATTACTAATATGAGTCTTCTTCCTATTGAATCAAGTTATTTTTTTATGTTAATAGTACAAGTAGAAAAGTAAGAGTATTAGTACTAGTTTGTAACTATTTGAATTGTATGAATCTAATCCAGTGCCTAAACATCATTCCTAAAATGTCTGTTTTCAGTTTAAAAAAAAACACGAAAACTTAATTTTATGCTACAAATACTTTTACGTAGACAAGTTACAAATAATTAAAAAGTCTAAATTCATATAAAATGTTCATTTACAACAGTGACCTTCAGCAGGACAAATGTTTTTGCGTTTTTTTTTTTAATTTTGAAAGTTAATTGCTATTTTTCAAACTCATAGGTTGTGAAATCAATTTGATAGGTTGTGACCAGGATTTTTAAAATATGAACTAAAACAGAAAATATTGGCACACACTGTTAATAGTATGATTATTTTCTCACAAAACTTTTATTTCAAGTATATTCATAGAGTACACAAGTATTGTATACTGGGTCACACTGTAAGGTATATTTTTTAACCACTGTGGACTATGATTTAAAAAAAAGTTGAAAGCAACTATAATAAAGAGTACCGATAACTGAAAATAATGTTCTCATCAATTTTTTAGTACTTACAAAGTTTCTTTGTAATTCCTGTATACTGTTTCTCATATTTAACATCATTCGGTCCATTGCCTGAAAAGGGTTGACATCTGTATGCTACAGGATATTAGGAAGTATGTTATTAACTATATGTACAACACAAAAGGAGCAAATCAATTTTCCCAAAACAGCTGAATTTTTTTTCTTGATTTATGCAGTGGAATCTCATGCAGTAATCGACCAGACAAAGATAATTTAAGGACTATTCAAAAAAGTGATTTGTTAAAGAAAAAATGGAAGCATATACAGAATCCCAAACAGCCAATATATAAATAATTAGGAAGTTGCAACACTATAAATGCATGACACACTTATATACGTGCATGAGCATATAAATAAAAACACACATTCATCAATTTTCTCAAAACATAATTTTAGCTAATATTTCAATATTGAGCAGTGTATTCTGGGCTGGGACAGCTCTAGCATAGAATAGTTTTCAAATTTTTCTTTCCTCCCTCTCAATACCTCACCATGTAAATAAATAAAACTTGGGTGTATGATACCAATGTCACTTCCTACAGTACAACAACACCAGAGACCGCTTCTAAAGGTGCAGGCTGTCCTTACATCATAAAAAGATCCAAAGGAAAGAGGTTAATTAATTCTACTAGTAGGTCTGGAATTTGCCGTCTACTATGGAAAGCTCAGTAGGGTATTCCCTTGAAGCATGGCATATGCTTCTTTAGAATAGTAAAGAATTCCTCTAGAATAGTAGTTTCTCAGCCAAGATTGACTTTGACTCTCAGGGGACATTTGTCAATAATTATACTCATTTTTGTGTGTCACAACCAAGGAGGGTGTATGACTGTCATCTGTTGAGTAAAGGCCAGAGACGCTGTTAAAATCCTACAAAGCATAGGACAGCTCCCCTCACCCCCAAAAAGAATTATCTGGCCTAAAATATCAATAGTGTCAGGGGCTGAGAAGCTCTGCTCTACAAAAATCAGCCAATGATTTTCGTTTTTATCACTAGAACGCTCACCAGAACTTAAAAAGCAAAGCACACATTTTAGTGTGTCACCCAATGCATTATTTACTATTATAAAACAGAGGAGGTGTTTGATTCAAGGAACTCCTTCACTTAAATGGGAGTCTTTTGAATCCTGTACGGCACTGTAGTTTAATGCTAGTATTTCAGATCCTCTGGAGATTCTTTTGCTGTATGGGACTCAATAAAGAATTATCAAAGGCCTATCTCTGCCTTCCATAGTGTTTTTATTACTTGTAACAATGGGAAATAGATGGGAAAACTAAATTCTTCTTTAGAACTTGCACTTAATACAGTAGGAAATAAAGACATATTTCAGAGATACTGATACATATATCTTTGGGTACACATGCACAATCTGCATTTCAGGGATTCAATACAATTTAGGAAACATTCTGAATATTTTGTTTCAACACCAGGTTGAGAAATCAGGGCTGTATAAAAGCCATAATTCATGAGCCTTAGAGGGGGCTACCCCAAGTAAGAAGAGGAGAAGAAGGAAGAAAAGATCAGAAGTTTGGGTATATTCTGCCCTTTTCTCAATTCATTGTCAAATCAGCCATCTAAAAATTTATTGTGCTTGCTGCGGGGTGGCCCAACACCTTGGAGTGACAAAAAGTGGCGGGGGCGGGGGGGGGGTTGTAGATTCCACTGGGCTCCTAAGGCCTTTGGGAACTTTGAACACATGCTCTTCTCTCTGCCTGAAATGTTTTTATCCTGACTCTCAGCATACTTTCTTCTCATTTTTCAAGTATTACCTCCTCAGAAAGGCCACCTGTCTAAAGTAATCTCTGCTTCACCTTCCATCTATCACTATATCATTACCTTGTTTCATCTCCTGCAGAGTACTTTGAAGTACTTTATCTGTAATTATTTTCTGTCTTCTCTCTATAGAAATAATCTCTGTCTTCTCTGTCCTATTCACTACTATATTCTGAATACTTTCAAAATAATTCCTAGCATACAAGAGGGCTCCCTAAACATTTGCTGAATAAATGAAAAATTATCTCTAACTCAGCTCAAACCCATATATTCAATTATTTACCAGATAAATCCACTTGGACATACCACGGGTGCCTCAGATGCAAAATATCCCAAACTGAAATGATCCTTTGACCACCCCTACTCTCCTATCTGTATGTATGAGTATGAATTGTCTGTTCCCCACTTAGCTCAGTGGCATACCCATCTAGCTAATTCCTCATGCCAAAAAATGGGCATAATACTTTCCTTTTCTCTCCTTACTGTTTCTTCAACCCAAGAAATCCCCAAGTTCTACCCATTCACCTCTTTAACTCTCCTTCAAATAAGATTATTTCTCTTTATCACCACAGCCATTACCCAAGTAGAAACCACTAGCAGTATTTCCCAGAATACTTTAACAGCTTCCTGGAATCCCTGCCTTCACTGTGGTCCCTTCCAGTTTTTCTTTCTCCTATAGACACAATAATCTTTCAAAAATGAGAACCTGACTCTACTACCATTTTGGTGAAAATTCATCAACTGCTTCCTTATTCTTAAGATAATGTCCCCAGTCCTTACTAGGACAAAAAGAAGTCCCTGGTTACCTCCCTATCTTTATCTATATCTAGTCTCCAACTCATGTTCCAGGGCCAAGTGATCCTAAACATCTTCAAGCTTCCTAGCTACCAGGTCTTTGAAGATGTGGTTTCTTCTGTGTTGAACACCTTTCTTCTCCCCTCCCTGCTTTTCCTGGCTAACTACTATTAATCCTTAAGGTTCTGGAAATCTCTGATTAACTTCCACCCCCATCACCCCAAAAGGTCTGGGTAACAGGCTTTTTTCTATCTGTGGTTCCACAGCACGCTGAACTTCCTGATCATTTTACTGATAAAAAGCCAGTTATAGCACACAGTTCATTTGTCATTTGTCCCACTAAAAACTCTGGTCAGGAAGGACAAATATTGTATGTCAAACTTTCAGGAGACAAATGGCTAAAGTCTAACAAAAAAAATAAGAAACTTTTGCATAAGAGTGTTGATGAATCCACAGGAAACATTCTAAAGTCATGCTTTAAAGTCTCTGCTACTCCTTAGATTGCCTTTAAGTACATTAGAAACTAGCATCACAGAAAACAAAGAAAGAAGAGTGAGAGAAAAGCTGGTTGCAGAGTAGCCATGCTTGGACCTGGGAAAGGAAAAGCAGCATGAACAAGTTAACAACAGGGTGCTAGAAAAAGCAGCCAATCGGAGCTTCTCCAAATGTGCTCCTCTAGCTACAGTTTGGTACTTTTTTACCTTTTGGAAAGTCACCACAAGTATGTGGAAGTGTCCAAACTTTCAAACACAACTATGGGATCCCTTTTGTAAATCAAATGAATATTCATCTATTAAAATGCACTTTTTCTTTTTGAAGATTGATTTTATTTATGTTGATATGACTTAATTCAGAAAAAAAACATGCCTGAACACTCCCATGAAACAGGTTTCAGTACAAATTCTAAAAAGACATTTTGAAATTAAGTGAAACTGCATGCCAATTCACTTTGCTTGAATTAATGAAAAGTACTTGTCAGAAAATATTGCTAAAATGGTTTGTGTCTCATGATACGAACCATACCACCAAAACTGCCAAAAGGCATAAGAGAATTCATTACCTAGGGAAAAAAATCCAATTAATTTTGGTTATGGTATTTTATGAAAATCCCTGAAAAAGAAAGAAATGTACTCCATAATCAAGACACTTCTGAACTGATAAAACTTTTAAACCATTTAATTTAAAAATCCTCAGCATGGATTTTAAAAATTACCTGTGCTTATTATTCATCGTGGAGCCTGACAGGAGCCTCGCAGGCAAATAGGAAGACCATATACCACTCTTAAATATGACTGCCATACTATTTACCAAAGACACTTGAAAGAAAAAGTTGTTGCTATAGCTTGAGACAAACATTTTTCAAAGGAAATGCAAATTCACACCAACATTAATTTAACCAGAAAGTATAATTATTAAAGTATCACCTTTCCTTTGCTCAACTATTCCATATTTTTAAAAGATGAGTTAACCTACCAATAACTGATTAAAAATAAGCAATTATCTACATTAATAGCATTTTAAAAGATAAGTAGAGATGACGGGCAAAAAAAATTAATGAGGATTTCCCAAGAATATATGGAATAAAAAATACAGACTTCAGAAAAGATCACAAACACAGATTTTAAAATATATAGTCTTCGATAAGCAAAAGAATGTTAAGTATAATAGATGGAATTGTCAAAATTAATTGTTCACAAATTATATCCCTCAGTAGGTACAGATAAGTAAAAATAAAATTTTAGACAGATAAATATAAAAATAAAAAATTTTCATTACTTGAACATTTCAAATATTGAAAGTAAAATTTGAATTTTTGGGTAAATGGTATATATAAAATTCTACCATCATTCTGTGACAATTTTCTCCCTGTGTAAGTTATGTTGAAAAATAGAGAAAGCTGTGTGTTTATATTTAATTGTATAATAAATTATATCAGATGATATATATGTATACTATATATTTAGAACAGTAATCTCCAAAGTATATTGGATGCACCAATAAAATTTCTGTATTTCTTTTTGTTTAAAAGAAAAACATTAAAAAATTTTATGTTTATTCATTTTTGAGAGACAGAGAGACAGAGTATGAGCAGAGGAGGGGAAGAGAGAGGGAGACACAATCCGAGGCAGGCTTCAGGGTGTGAGCTGTCAGCACAGAGCACTATTCAGGGCTTAAACCCACGTACCATGAGATCATGACCTGAGCCAAAGTTGGACACTTAACTGACTGCACCACCCAGGTGCCCTTAAAAGAAAAACAGTTTAGATGGGCTCTGGTGCCATCACTCAATCTAAATGTCCAATGGTCACATGTCATACCTTGAATTATAAGTTGCTTATTTAAATGTATTTACAGATTAAATTGTCTAGTTTAAACAAAACTAATCCTCCCAAAATGGACAGCTGGGCTTAAAAATATACCCACTGGAGCACCTGGGTGGCCCAGTTGGTTAAGTGTCCGACTCTTTGTTTCGGCTTTAAGTCATGATCTCACGGTTCTTGAGTTTGAGCCCCGCATAGGGCTCCATGCTGACAGTGCAGAGTCTGCTTGGGATTCTCTCTCTCCCTCTTTCTTTGCCCCTCTCCCACCTCCTTTCCTCCCTCCATCCCTCCTTCTCTCTATCTCAAAAATAAATAAACTTAAAAAATTTTTTAAAAATCACCATAAATCATGAACCAAAGAAAATGCTAATAATATAAACAAGAAAATAGCATAGTTGGCTTCACCTACTTTTGTAGGAGTCTCTGCTTTCCTTCACAAAATGGCTGATAAAGATGACAAAGGTCAAGAAATGGGCCAAAAACTTAAAAAATTATCAAGATGTCTATTTGAAATAGAGCTTTTCATCCACTATTCTTAAAAGCAACAGCATAACAGCTCACTGCTTAATCAAAAAAACCTTGTAACTTCATGAGAAGAGAGAGAACCTTTATATGAACTTTTATGAAAGTTCAAATGGACTAGAATAGCTAGCATGCTCAAAAAGCCTATTGTTTTCTTGGCTGTACTCTTTCAGATAGTAGCAGTTTTATCTATCTTCTGCAGTCAATTTCTATTCTGTTCCTACCTTCACATCTAGTTATAAAACACTAACTTAGAAAAGTTCAAGTTGGCAGAGAAGTCTTTTGTTGCTACTGTTTATTTGGTTTTGCTTTAATTAACTTATTTTTGCTATTACTTTAGTCTTTCACACTTAGACATACACATGTCAAATATATCACACCCTACAGGAGAAAAGGAGAGCCAATTCTCACCAATATAAATTATAAAGGCACACACACAAAAAATGAGTTTTGGCTAAAAGAGAGGGTACATGTTCCTTGGAAAAATCTGCTGTAACAGATTTTATAATTTGTATTTATAATTTATAAATTGTAATCTTTTAAAAATTATTACTTCCCTAGGACCATACTCACCACTCTTGACAATTTGAACAAGAAAAAAAGTGCACTGGTGTTAGCATTCTAAGATAGTTGATAGGATATAATGTCCTTCTTCACTGGGAATAAAATTGCCACTTCTTCCTTCCACAAAAGCTTTAAGTAGCTCATTTATGCACATAAATACAAAGTACTATATGCAGCCCTACTCTTGCCTTGCTATGGTTATAGCAGAAATACAAAATATTTCAATGTTCATATGAAAGATAAAATTTCAGAATGTGTTAATTGATTTTTCTGCCCTCCTTGATAATTTTTCCTTTGCTCTTAATTTTAGACTTTTATGGAAACTGATAACCCTATGAATCAAATATATATACACACACACACACACACACACATATATATACACATATATATGTATATATAATACCATTATTCACTAAATAAAAGAAGCCAACTTGAAATAAGAGTAATATATGTTGGAATAATATGAAAAATAATGTGAAAATTTTCATTTAAATGGTAAATGTAGGGGTACCTGGGTGGCTCAGTCTGTTAAGCATCTGACTCTTGGTTTCGGCTAACATCATGATCTCATGGTTTTGTGGGTTTTAGCCCCCCATTGGGCTCTGTGCTGATGGTGCAGAGCCTGCTTGGGATTCTTACTCTCCCTCTCTCTGCCCCTCCCCTGCTCACGCTGTCTCTGTCTCTCTCAAAATAAACTTTAAAAAATTAAAAACAATGGTAAATGTAATTTTATAGATCAAACCCCTAACAAGTATTTAAAATATTCAGTCTCTCTTTTAGCCAAAACTCATTCTTTACTATGTATTTATAATTTACACTGGTGAGATATGGCTCACCCTTTTTTTCCTAGGTTGTGATAAATATGATATATTTTTATCTACGTATGAAAGACTTATGTAATAGCAAAACTTAATTAATAAAAAACAAAAACAAACTTGCTGTCGATTTTTATTCTAGAACTGCCATTCCTAAGGGAAAACAAGAGAAATAAAATAGAGAAGAAAATAGTTAAGGTATGTAAGCATTATAACCTCCTAGCTTTGCTCTCAGACAAGACATGAAAACATACTGCCATTATGCAAGGCTTTTAGATACAGTTAAAAGTTAATCTAAGTTTTGAAGGTCCAAAGAAGCCATGCAGAAGTTTGGTTTTTCCTGGTCCTATAGAGATAAATAAAATATTACATTATTGCTTTGGCTGCTTTTTGAAAGCAGGGAGGAAAATGTGTTACATAGGTTAGGAAGGGTCGTTCCTTGACTGTTCTAACTTAAGACATGGAAGCAAATTCTAAGATGACAACAAACTATATAGACATATGAAAAATAATACTTTAAGTCTGGAGTATAATATATAACCCTATGGTCCTAAAGTTTTAGTAGCATAGTAGAATTCTATACAGTTAACAATTCATTTTTTTAAAATTCCAACAGGCCCACCTTTTCATATATAACAGTTATCTCTATAACATGAACATTATTAATAGCTTAACATCATAGATATATCCTTCTGTAATAATTGTTCTCAAATTCCTATAGGACTTTCTAGCTAACTCTAATATAAAGAACTTACAGTCAAGGAATTTCCACCATCATCATGTCTCATTTGATTATGAGCTCTTCCTCTACCATCAGAGATACTGAGCAAGTCTCTTCCAAAAGGTTCAGAAAAACTTCTCATCATCTGTCGCATATTTTCTCGGTGTGCAATAAAAGAATCACTGTTGAAAACACATATAATCATCCAAGAGTGAATGTTGGAATTTAAATAATTAATAAGTAGGCAGATAAATACTGCAAAGAATTATTTTGGGCTAATATGCTTGTTAAAGAGACAAAAGAAGAGTTTAGGTGAATGGAATTATCTTGCTAAGACCCACTAACTCATACATACAAAAACTGTTCCATGTGCTACCTACCTCAATTCATCTATTTATAAATATACCTTTACATATCCCTTATTGTGTAAAAATGAGAAACACAAAGTAACACATCTCAGGTAGCTTAAGCCAGCACTAAGAAAAATGGCAAAAAGAACTGAAAAATTTTGCTACCAGGTGGAGGTCACTCTTGGCAGCCACCAATATAACTTCTACTGAGAACTAATAAAGAATGCTGGCTTGGGGCACTTGGGTGGCTCAGTTGGTTAAGCATCTGACTTTGGCTCAGGTCATCATCTTATGGTTTGTGGGTTCACGGCCCATGTCTGTGTCAGGCTCTTTGTTGACAACTAGAGTCTGGAGCCTGCTTCGGATTCTGGGTCTCTCATTCTCTCTGCCCCTCCCCCACTCTCTCTCTCACTCTTTCACAAAAATAAACATGAAAATTAAAAAAAAAAAAAAGAATGCTGGCTTGTTTCTTTTTAAATCCTTATTTATGAAATATGGGCATTGAAAACTGTAGTTACATTAGAACACTGTAAATATACATTATTTTAACAGTAAAAAATAAAGCTACAGATCACCTTTATGAAGCTAACTTTTGTCCTAAGAACTTGTAAATTTAAAAAAAAATTAATTTTAGAGAGAGAGAGCATGCATGAGAGGAGGAGAAGAGCAAAGGGAGAGAGAGAAAGAATCCTAAGAAGGCTCCACAATCAGCATAGAGTCCAATGCGGGACTCGATCACACAACCCTAGAATCATGACCTGAGCTGAAATTAAGGGTCAGACACTCAATTGACTAAGCCACTCAGGTGCTCCTTCTAAGGATTCTTAATATCAGAAATCACCATATAGTAAAAATATTTTCTAAGTCTTAAGCTATCTGTTCTCAAACTTTTTTTGAAATTACCAAGCATACCAATGAGCAGGTTAGAAATACAGGTTTCTGTCCCCTCAACAATATCCCAGTAGAATTTACTAGTTCTGGGTGTGGTTTGTGGGCATGCATCCTTGGTGATCAACTAGTCCCTTCACCAACCTTTGAGGAACAGTATCCCTTCTGTGCATGTGGTAACTGAATCAATTAGAACCCAAGCCTGCCTTTCTGAACTTAAAGTTTCCATAGCTGTAAAATGAGGATAATATTGCATATCCCTGTTGTGGAGATTAAAGCATGTTATCTGAAGGCACAAAACACAGTATCTGACCCATAAAAAATGTCAAATGTTATTTTCCCTTACTTTCTCTTCTTAGCTCATGTATGAACGCCACTCCCTATTATTCTATTATTGGTATTAAACACCTCTCATTGAGAAAAGATATGTATTTTATCTAAAAATACATATAGTAATAACCATTTCCAGGCTGTTTTCTATTTGTATAAATATCAGTGTTCTTAATCCGATGTTATCCCAATCACGCCAAGTCCCATTCAAGAATGTAAAACTTTTATTGCCTTATTACAGTGCTTTCTTAGCTTCATTTCAGTTGGAAAGTCACTGACCCACTTGTCAATTCCTTACTGCTCACTCTAGAAGCTAAGGCCCATCACCACTGGAGTGCCCTTTACCATGGCAATCTTACTCTTGCCTGAGTCTGTTGGAGCCTCCTAATAGTGTGTCCCCCTTTCAGACTTCTCCACTTTAGTTTCATCCTCCCACTTCTCATTCTAAACTCCAATCTTCTAATGTCATCATGAGAAAGCTCAAAAATTCTGTCTTCCTTCAGTAGTCCCAGGTAGAAAGAGCTTTCCTTTGAATTGTGCATATTTGTATACGTAATCCTATCTCAAAGGAGCTCAGATTTAGTCAAATTATCACCTCAGAGGTTAAAAATAAAAAAGCTTCAAGTCCAAATGATTAGTAAACCACTTAACTGGACTATGCTTATGTGTATAAAGAGGTTTTTGTTTTTAATTCAGCTTTGTTTAGGTCTAATTTAAATATAATGAAATGTATCCATTTTAATCATACCATTTGATGAATTCTGAAAACTGCATATAGTAACAACCACCACCAAAAAGGTCTAGAACATTCCCACCACCCCCAAAGTTCCCTCTTGCCTCTTTGCAGATTAATTACCTCCCTCTAACCTAGTTACCACTGATAGGCTTTATTTTTCTTTTCTGTTTTCTTTTTTTTTTTAGGTTTATTTATTTATTTTGAAAGAGAGAGCAAGCAAAGTAGAGGCAGAGAGAGAGACAGGAGAGAATCCTAAGCAGTGCAGAGCCCAATGAAGGGCTCGAACCCACTGTGAGATCATGACCTGAGCCAAAATCAAGAGCTGGATGCTTAACTGACAGACCCACCCAGGCTCCCCACCACTCACAGGCTTTCTGTCACTATAGTTTCACTTCTTCGAGAATCTCATATAAGGAAATTATGTTGTCTTCTGTGCCTAGCTTCTTTTACTTGGCATTTATCAGTAGTTCAACTTTATTGCTCGGTATATTGTATGTATATGATTATATCACAATGTAATAATAAACGGTTTTTAGCTTTTTGCTATTATAAAGCTTCTCTGAACACTTATGTACTGTTCTTTACATATACAGAGTTTCATAACATATGTTATATATGTTATGTGTAACATAACTAGCAGTAGGATTGCAGGGTTGTGTGGTGATTGTTTAATTTTACAGAAAATGTGAACTTAGAGTTTTAAGTTCTCTAGTTGTGCTACATTCTTCCTTGATAATTGGTATTGTCAGTCTTTTTGATTTTATTCACTTGAGTGGTGGTGTAACTATCTCATTGGGGGTTTATTTTGTGTGTCATTCATAGATATTCTTTGATAAAACATGTTCAAATTTTTTCCCTATTAAAAAAAAACAGGTTGTTTGTCTTACTGTTGTAGAGTTGTAACAGTTCTTTATATATTGCAGACCTAAGACTTTTATCAGATATTTATTTGTCTTGTAACTATTGCTTCCTAGTCTTGGACTTGCCTTTTCATTTTCTTAATATCAACTTATTCAGCCACATAGCTATGGATCTTTGTTACGTCTTCAGTTTTCACCATACCTTTGTGTAGTAGTTTTATTTCTGACTTAGTTTTCTATCTGTGTCTTCATCTTTGCTTAACTAATGTCCATTCTCATAACGTTTTATATATTTCTATAAGCTGCTTTCAATTATTTTTAGATGAGGGATAAGCACAATTTTTAAAATGAAGGATAGAATTGGAATAGGAACTTAGGAGACAATCTGAGGGAAGGATGATTAAAGAAAGTAAATTGTGATGATTATTTTAATGTACCTTCTGAATTTCCTGTCTAAAAGTTAAAAGACTTTTGTGTTTTATATCTTCTAATATGAGAAATTTATCTGTGATTTTCTTACAAAATTTTTTGACATTATTGAACTTAAGTTAGGAATATTATAATCTTTTTTAATGTTTATTTTTGAGAGAGAGCAAGAGAGAGCACAAGCAACCGGGGGAGGGACAGAGAGAGAGGGAGACACAGAATGCAAAGCAGACTCCAGGCTGCCAGCACTGAGCCTCATTCAGGGCTCAAACTCACAAACCAGGGGATCATGACCTGAGCTGAAGTTGGATGCTTAACCAACTGAGCCACTGAGGAGCCCCCTCTTTTTTTTTTTTTTTTTTTAAGTTTGTTTAATGTTTACAGTTAGGAATATTATAAACTTGATATCTAGTCTCTGGTAAACTAATGAACTCACTAATTTATATGTGTAGTAGGCAGCCTCTGAGATGGCCCCCATGATCCCCTTTCCTTAAATATGGGCTAGATTTACTGACTTGCCTCTAACAGAATGTGGCTTCTGCTTGGGCACTATCTTAGCGTGATGACTCATTCCGGAGCAAGCAGCTGCTATCCTGTGAGACAGCCCTGTGGACAGGCGTACCTGGGTGAGCTTAGAAGCAGATTTTTGAGATCAGTCAACAACCACGTTAAAGAACTTGGAAGTAAATTCTCTACCAGTCAAGTCTTGAAATGACCACAGCCTTGACTCACAATTTGATGCAGCCTCCTAAGAATCCCTGAGTCAGAACCATATAGCTAAGCTGTTCCTGGATTTCTAACCAACAGAAATGATATAATAAAATGTTTGTTGTTTTAAGCTACTAAATTATAGCAGCAATAGATAAGTAATACCTATTACACATACCAAAGCACAGTGTATAACACATCTAAAACTGTCCTCATTCTAATTCTTCAATTTTATTGGTTTTTATCCAAAGACTATAAGAGAAAAGAATACGAATCTATAAAAATAGTTTGCTGGTTTGTTTTGGTATCGTGAGAAAATTTTTTTTAGATTTTCACCAAACTCTGAGACTATATGGGATGGTATGAATTAAAATATAAACTTCTACAAACCTCAGGAGAATGGGGTTTCTCAGACAGACAGGTGGTCTTACTCTAGAGCAGTTGAAACTGAGGCACAAGAAGCCCATGAAACTGTTGATTAGAAGACACAAGTCTATTAAAGCAGTTGTGCCAGAGGAAACCAACTCTGGTTTCAATGAACACCCTTTCTCCAATCAAAAGTCATGAAGGAAAAGCTTCAGAACTGCAGGTATTGACTGCAATGCAGATGCTTCTCAATGTGGCATGCACCCACATGAGTGAAAAATGGTAAACAACTCTCCCAAAAAATGGCAGAGAGACCATCTGATATACAGAATGGTTCAAATTCAATAAATGTTTATTGTGTATACTGAGTGTCAAGCACAGAGGGTGATTACTGGTCTAGAGTAATTTATGGTCTGACAGAAAAATGAGACCTACATGTTTTAAAATTAAGATTATAAAACTTGAATATTGTATCAGTTTAGCCAATGTAAGAAATTACCATAAATTTATTGATTTAA